TTTTCCAAGCCAACCCGCCATAATAACGGCTTCTGTACTCAATCGCCTGACCACAGCTTGTTCCACACATTAAACGAGCTCTCGTGTCACTGCTCGAGCGCTATCCTTCCAACTTTTCCGAGTCGTCCTGCCTTGATTTCGGAGCGTCAGGCCGGAGGACATTCAGCACGAGTGTGTCGATGGCGAGGCTTGCTGGCCCATGAATCCGTCTCTTTCGAATGATCACATATCCGCTTCAACGCTGCGCAGACAGCCCAGCTGATGTTGACAATGGTCGAACTCCCCGAGTACGCTCCGTCTTCCAGGTCCTGGTCATGGAGGCGTATGTCAACTTGAAGCTGCTCGATGCATGTCGGAGAGTCACTAATCGACTCTTTGCGGGTGGACGAAGCAAGTAGCCTGCCAACTACGGGTACACTGGGCCACGCTATTACTACACATCTACTCTTCATGACTGCCCTTGATCTCTGTACAATTGGTATTGACAGCCATGTGAAGTAATACCCCGCTTCCCGCCTCGCAATCTTTTTTGCGATACAGTCTATGCGTGCCATCACAAGCCCCGCTCTTCTCGCCCGTTCCAAAGCCTGCTTCATCTCAAGGTTGACCTGCCGGTTCACTGCAAGCACGTTGGCACATGTGCTCGGCGGCGGCTCCAGAGCAAAGTGGCATCCTGAAGACGAGCTACCGGTTCGGTACCAGTTCCAGGGATTAGATGTTTGCGCAATTTCTGGCCTCTGGCGCTCCCAGGTGATGACGGCCATGTAAATCATGTCTCTGAGCTCACGCGGAAGATCGGAAAAATGCGCCATGTTTGCTTCTTTTGCAGGACTTGCGCTCAGCGGATCCCCTTACCACTCCAGATTCTTGATTCGAAAAGACCGAGGTTGCTAAGCGTCGCTTCCGGGGTCCCCTCTGCTTTTGCGTCGTGTCAAAAGGCGTCTTGTCTCAGATGCGCAGGCGCTAGGTTTCGGAACGACGTGGTGGTTCTTGTCCTCAGGCACGCCGCATGATCGCCAGGAAACGCGGGGAATGGTTGTTACTTCAGCACGATTGATATGGCGAGCGCATGTCGTGTGTAGGTCATGGAAGTCTGACTTGGTATGAGTATGACCTCGGGACCCGATAGTAGAGCCGACCGGCGTGATCCGCGGGTGTCGTCATGCTTGGCTTACCGAAGCCGTTATTCAACACCAACAACGTCTTTCAATTCGATGTTGACATCGTGTGAAATTTGGAAGTGCATGTCATTGATTCAAAGAGTCGCTATATCACGACTACCTTGTTAGATTAGATTTGGAAGAGTTTCCTTATACCCGACTAATCTTCGGTCACACCTGCAGCTAAGCTTCTGAAAGTTGTGGAGCCCACGACTGGAGTACATGTATGGCAGACCAATACTGAAGGCCATTCACAGCTTGTCAGCTTAGACTGGTAAAATCGAGCTGTACCTTTTTGCCACATAGGACTAGCATGTCCCATGTACATGCATGTCGTGGCAGTGTGATACGGCTTGTCGCGGATGCAGCACCAAATGCGGACTACAAGGCTGCACATGGCAATATCTTGTGTGACAGTGAGCAATTACAAGTATACCCAAGGCTCTTCTACAACCCATCACGTCGAGAAATCACATGGAAGCTTTTCGAGAAGAAAATTCATCGCTCGGATGGCGATGTTGGGGCGGACATGGGGAAGCCATTGGGCCGGCAAAGCCCAGGGATCATGTCTAAAATAGGGTGGTACCGGGCTCGGCACGCAAAGGCCGCTATTTGGTACCTACTTTCCAAAAGTGTCTCGACCTGCCAGCGTGCCATCGCTTAATCTTCAGCATTCCTGAGACTCAAGCGCTGTCGATCCTCCCTACTGTGCCATGCACTCATCAGCTTCACTCTAGGGGTGCTTTCTGACATCAGCAGCTACTTGCTCTCTGAATAGAACGTGTAAGGATGCAAAGGCGGGCGTCAACAAGCCCATGTCCAACATATGTAGTCGGGTATCCGTGTACACAAGTCATTTTTCGCGTGCACCCGGGCTCGGCGTGGCCATACACGTTTCATGAAACAGGCCTCTGCGTCAAGCCCTTGCTGCTTCAGGTCGGCGCCCCGTTCCTCATTCGCTATGACTGCTTCTTCGTCTCCACTACAATTGGCCAGATTCAACGCCGATTTCAGGGGCACGTCTTCCCGTCAAACGGTGAGTCCGGCCCCTGCATAGGAATTTTGCTGGCGATTCGGGATAGACTGTGCGAGATCGATGCCCCGTGGGCAATTGTGCTTCGACAAGGGCAGGTTCTATACGAGGGGGACCGCGCGTCGATGTATAAGATCTGCCTGGCTCCCTTATGTTGCAGAATTTCTAGTGGTTTTGCTGCGTGCATCCTTTCCCTTTATTGTCCATTGCTGTCTTTACAACAAGTCTACTACTACTCTCCACTGTCGTATACACTCAAGAACACTGCACTGAATCCTCTTTACACTTTCTATAACTGCTGGCCAGTTCTCGCTACACATTAGATGCGATCAGAATCAATCGAGATGGCGCCTTCAGTAGCTGGAACAAGCAACCAAAACTCTCAGGCCAACGGAAATTGAGATTCCTAGGACCAGCAGCACGAACAATGACAATGGAGCGCCAGAGTTACTTTCGCCACGCTCATGGCGGCACCGCGCAGTCACATACCAGCCACCTTCCCGGAGGCAGACCAATGGCTCCTTGGATGCTGAGGACTACTTTGTGCGTTATATTGAAATTACCAAACCATTTGCAACCACTGACTTGTGTAGGTTGGTCCTCGCGACATGTCCAAGCACTCGAAATGGCCCTTCTTCATGCGCATGCACGGCTCCGTCTTTCCCAAGATGATTCTCCCCTTGACTGTTGTCACTCTCTGGTCCACCCTAATCACCTGCGTATCCGAGTTCCTCTACCCATTGGCTGTCAGCACGCTGTTGCTTACCGTCCTCGGTTTCGTCGTCCGGTCTCGCTATATCTTTCCGTACCAGCACGGCGTATGAGCGTTACACCGAGGGCCGCAAGTACTGGAGTCAGTTGATCTTTCTGTGCAAGGAACATGGCCCGCACGATCTGGATTCATACGAGTGAGCGTGAAGGCGAGCTGGGTAAGGAGGATTTGCTGAACAAACTGTAAGTGTTTATGCATTGGATGGGTGATGGCTTTGGCTAATTGAGAAACAGGACCGCTCTCAACCTCCTCAATGCCTTTGCATGCTCTGTCAAGCACAGACTCCGCTTCGAGCCTGGCATCGACTACCCCGATCTCCGCGAGCGCGTCGAATTCCTCGACACCTTTGCCAAAGCCGCCGACGTCGACATCCCCCCTCCATCAGACAAGGGCAAGGCCAAAGCTGTGGGCGAATACCTCGGTGTCACGTTCGCCGAGTCGAACCCCCGCAAGAGGATCAAGCGCTCCAAGAAGCCGCTCGGAAACCTTTCTCTCGAAATCCTGAACCATCTGTCCTGCTACGTGCACAGCGTCATCGACAACGACACGCTGAAAATCGGCCTCTACCAGAACCAAGCCAGTACGTTTTTATCTTTCCCCCTCCCCTAATCCCCTTTCCACCGCACATCCTAACAACCACAGTCACCGGCATAGTGCAGCTCAACGAAGCCCTCACCGGCATGGACCGCGTGCTCCAAACCCCGCTGCCCATCGCCTACTCCATCGCCATCTCGCAAATCACCTGGGTCTACGTGATGATGCTGCCGTTCCAACTCTGGGACGACCTACGCTGGATCACGATCCCCGGGTGCATATTCGCCGCATACATCATCATCGGGCTGGCGGCCATTGGCCGCGAGATCGAGAACCCCTTTGGCAACGACGTCAACGACCTCCCGCTCGAAGCCTACTGCGAAGAGCTCGAGCTCGACATCGACACGATTACCTCGCAGCCCGCGCCCACGGCGAGAGAGTTTATGCGCCGCGATGGGAATATGCCTATTTGGCCCCTCAGCCAGAAAAACTATGAGAGCTGGGCTGGCCGCAGTAAGCAGGATATCAGGGATGCGCTGATGACTAAGACCAAGGCGGATATGGCGGTGCGCAAGAGCTTCGCGGTGTCGAGGGACAGCGAGAGCGATGAGAAGGCTGGGCATACGCTGCAGCAGGATGCGTAGAGCATGATTGTGTTTGCCCGACTGAGGCTTTTTGGTAACAATGGCGTTTTGCAGGGGTGGTGGTTTTTTTGCATAGCGAGGCTTTTTTTTTCATGGCACTGCGTTTCTTTCTTTTCTGTTCTTCGTTTCTTGTCACGGCCTGGACACACCGATATCGGGGGGGGGCAGGAGGCGATGCGTTATAACTGTACCGAACCGAAGTAAGTACTTAGATCTGGTTTATTAAAAAGTTTGGCGATTGGGAATCGGGCATGGTGCATAATTGATAAGCGTGATGCGCATGTCCAACCACGGTCACTTGAATACTGAGATGGTTTGATGAATCAAGCTGTATTGGGAAATAAAATACATCTACGCTATTTCATCTCGAGGCAAATCAAGCAGAGACGCCCGCTAGGAATAGGGAGTCAAGACAAGGTATCACGTTAACACCGTGGCGGTGACAGAGGTGACTGGGTCAGGGAGAGTTGACGAAGTGAACCATCCTGACATATCTTGAGGGAAAAAAAAAGAGGGTATCACGTTAACCTGCTGTGGCTGGACAGGACAGTGGTGACTTGAAGGCGCGACGGCCTACTCAGCAGAAGTAACCGCGGTGTCGGCGCCTACAGCACGGAAGCCATCAGGAGAGATGCTGACCGCACCGGCTTGTACAAGCTGCACATGTTAGTTTTGAACAATCCGGCAACGCCTTTATGAGAACTTACAGCACGGCTCAGATCGTCAATCAAATCCTCCGGGTCTTCGATGCCCACGCACAGCCTGACAATGTCTTCAGGCATGTTGCGCTCCTTGCGCGTTTTCTCGTCGATACTGGCGTGGCTCATGCGGCACGGCATGCTGATCAAGCTGTTCACGCAGCCGAAGCTGACGCTGATCGCCCAGAGCTTCGCGCTCTCGACGATGCGCTCGCTGACCAGGACGTCGCCGGTTTCAAACGACAAGACGGCGCCCGCGCCGCGCGCCATGCTCCAGTGCAAGGCGTACTGCGGGTGGGACTTGAGCCCCGGGTAGCGCACCTTGAAGCCGTGTGACTCCAGAAACTCGGCGATGCGCATGGCGTTGTCCTGTTGTTTCTCCATGCGCACGCCAAGCGTCTTGATGCCGCGGAGCAGCAGCCACGAATCAAAGGGCGAGAGGCCGCATCCCGATGCGTTGATTGTGAAGTAGAGGCGGTCGCCTAGAGCGGAGTTGTTGATGGCAATGACTCCGGCCATGAGGTCGTGGTGGCCAGACAGGTACTTTGTTCCCGACTCGTAGACGACGTCGGCGCCGAGATCGAGCGGGTTGAGCAGCATGGGCGACATCATGGTGTTGTCGACGGCGACGATAGCCGCGGGGTTTGCATCGTGGGCAATTTTGGCAATGGAGGGAATGTCGCAGATTTTGATCAACGGGTTGGTTGGTGTCTCGAGCAGCACCATGGCCGTCTTGCTGTTCGCCACCTCGCGCACCTTTTCAGGGTCCGTCGTGTCGACGTGGTGTACGATGATGCCACCGTGGGTTGAGAGGTATTTGAGCAGCCTGTTGGATCCGCCGTACAAGTCGTCGCCCGTCACGACTTCGTCGCCGGGCCGCAGCAGGCGGGTGATGACGTCGAGGGCACCCATGCCAGACGAGACGACAAGGGCGCGGTTCGCAGCCATGATCTTGGCCAAGTGCCGTTCGAGGTGTGTTCGCGTTGGGTTGCCAGAGCGTGTGTAATCATATCTGCAGAAACACGTCAGGGTATGCCTCCCAAAATTCATACATGGACTTTACGTACTCTCCGCTGCCTCCTGCAGATTCCTGCTTGAAAGTAGCCGACTGTCCAGGTCAGCATTGTCCCCTCACTACCGCACCCACTCCCTTCGCCATCAACACATCTGCAAGTCATACCTGGTAAATCGGCACGGAGCTGGCATTGTACTGGTCGTTGCTCTCGAGGTACACCAGCTCCGTTGCCAGCGCATATTTCCGGCCATTGCGGGGTGTGCTCGGTGCAGGTGAGGGCGGCAAGTCGTGGCCGTCGAGATCGAGCGCAGCAGGCGCCTTGCCCTTGGAGCTTTCACCGGCCATGACTGTGCTTGTCTGTCGAATTGCGGGCTGGGGGTGTTGGAGCGTGGCGGGGTGCTGGAGTCTCCGCGGCGTGGCAAGCCTGTGTCGCGAGGGTCAATTCGCCGTGTTGAGGGCGAGAAGGAGTCTAGGTAGCGAGAATTTGGATATGTGAGACGAGAAGAGGACTGGGGAAAGTCTCCAAAGACATCTGCAAGGTACGTCGAGTTAGCCCTGACGTCGGGGAGTCACCGCTGCTATTGCGCCATCACGAGCCGTCCTGGTTCGTCCATTTGTCCACACATCGGCACTTTTCGACGCCCTCTTCCGCACATCGGCGCCCGGCTGTAGGGGCATTTTACCCCAGATTGAGATATCGGATCCACCACCAAACATCACATCCGACAACAAGTTCCTCAAATCGTGAACTCAAGTCCGTTTGTGCTGTGCCTAATACTAGGCTATACATATTTGAACCAGCTATGGTATGAAAAGAGCCGCTTCCGATCGTAATGAAACATGATGCGCCGACATTGCAGTCCGTCCGACCATCCTCATACCAGTCATGCTCCTTTCGCCAATGAACACCAACAACCCTATTAATATACATGATGGGAACCAATACCCTCGTCAGCTTCAAGGCACCGCCTCTGCCCTCACCTGGGCTGGATAGCGGGGAAACCTTTCCTGGCGTGCAAGTTCAGCTTGAACTCGAAAATGCCCTCTTCTGTTCCACAATATAGCGTCCGCCCGTCCTGGCTCATGGCTAGTCCTGCAGTTCGCACTCCCTGACTGGGGTCATGCAGACTACGACTAGGTCTCCTCAGACCCAGGCTGAATTCGTACGTTTCCGCCAAAGGTTGGCTGGCGCGAGCATTGCGGAGCCGTTCACGCATCTGTGTCAGTTGGCGGAGACGACGAATCTCGCTGCGAATCTCTGGGCCGGTGGAAGCACTAGTACTGTTGGCGTTGCTTGTTGTATTCCGAGCAATGGCGTCTGTTGTGCGCGCTTGGATCGTAAGGGCCTCTTCGATGGTGCGCCAAGCATCGTCAGTCGAGCTTACCATCTCGTTGGCAACACGGCGCGCATGCGCTGGTATCACGTTCGGCGACCGTGTCGGGGCAGAATCAGTAATGTTTGTGTAGTATTGTGGCACATTGACGGTGCCTGGGTCAATTGATACAACGACCGAGGCCTGGCGTCTGGGCGCTGTCCGCTCTTGCGTCGAGCGAGTCAATCTTCGGGAGTGCTCTGCGATGAATCCAGATATGAACTCAATCGAGTCTCGGCTCACACCTTCGCCGTATCTCGCCAGGTCGTAGTTGATGTTCCGAGGCGTGATGCCCTGCTCCTGTCCCTCCGCTCGTTGTCTCGTAGTTCGCAGAGTCTCAATGACTTGCCGTTCGTGAGCAGTCAAGCCATGGGGGTCGTTATCAGACTCGACCACGCCAAGCTGTCTGTGAAGTGATTGTCGCTCCGAGTCAGCCTCAAAGTATTCGGTTGCAGCGTTGACAGCCGCTTCTGTGCCATCTGAATCAAGCGCCCGACGGTAACTACGAATGAAATCTGCTTCCCTACGCAGACCATGCATCTCGGGACCTATGCTCAGATCAAAGTCGGCAATGGCAGCCTTTTCGATGCCCTCTTCCTTGGGATCCAGATTGAGCACCTGCTTCACCTTCAGTCCCGAACGAAGGTCGGCGACGCACACCCTCCCTTGGTCTTCGCTCCAAACCAGGAGATCCCATGGGCTGGGGGAGAAATGCATGGTACGGACGGCACCAGCGCCAGCCGCCGTGTCTGGTCTTGTGGAGCTGATTAGCTGCACCACAGCGTCCTCGCCATATTCGACCTCTTTGAGAACTTGTACGTCGAACACGGTGATGTAGCCGCATTCTGACCCTACTGCACACAGACGCCCCAACGGTGACCAGGCTGTGCAAAAGTAGCCATCTGAACATGGGCCGTTGGTGGGTCGGTGAAGAGGAACCTGCGCAAGAAGCTGCCACTCGGGCGGATTCATCTGTATTCGCCCTTCGGCGGTTTTCGAGCTAGCAGGCTTATCGGCATTCATTCGTTCATAAAAGTAGGCAGTCGGGGCATCACCCACAGCAACGAGCAGCTGAGAATCAGGCGAGATGGTGGCATGGTTCATGGCGAAGGGGAGATCGAGGACCGTCAGCTCGAGATTTTGCGTCAGGGAGTATACTCGCACTGTCTTGTCATTGTTGGTCAAGACTGCGACCACGTCCTCCTGCCCATCACCTTGGGCGGCGAATTTGTGTATGGAGATGGAATTGACAATATCTTCCCCAATCTTCTCGTATCGTATGCGGTGCGCGGCGCCGAGAAGTGGAGGCCGGGGCAGGCGGCGTGGGAAGTCTATGGGCAGCGAGGCGTCGACATCGGATGGGTCGGTGGGCGGGAAGCCTTGGACCTTGATGGCAGCGAAGTTGCCCTCGTCAGCGCCACCGATGCACACATATCCGTGTCCGGATGCTGTGCACCGGGCCTCCCAGGGAAGAGTGGTGACATGGGCCTGGATGCGCGTCGCGGCGTTCAGACAGTAGACGTTGACGCCGCTCGCATAGTATACAAGGTCGGGTTCGGGCGAGCTGATGAAGTGGCGCAATTGATAGTGGCTGTCTCTGTCAGCCCGGGCTCCTCACACATGCTGCGCCTGGAGAGAGCTCACGCAATAGGAATCTTGGTGGAATAGAACGACTTGGAAGGCTGCACGAATGAATCCGTGTCTCGACTCCTGCGGCAGTCAGCTTGCGCCGTCTTGGGCTGTATGGGGGGGAAGTGCGCACAGGAAGTCATCAACGGCCATAGCTTGCGGTCAGGTGGGCGAGTGCTGCAGCATGTCTAGGTGGTGGTAGGTCTGATGGATGCGGCGAGTAAAGGCAGCAGGCGGTCTACGTCACAGCCAGACGACTAGATCTGGAGACAGGCGCGCAGCAGCGCGGCGGACAGCACTGAAGTGATGTACAGGCGCGGATGTTCTACAGACTGCACAATCACGACCGAGGAGGGGCATGTGCGTATCGAGTGTTGCAGCGCAGGTGTCGTGCTTCAATCTCAGACGAAGCGCATCGAGACATGCTTCCCCACACGACACGGCTACGCGCCAAGCCATCCCGCCTTGATGCCTTCCTCGAGTCGCAGCACAGTCGACGCCGCGTCTCAGATGCCGTCAGTACATTGTACGGGCTTCTATCACTTGTAGTCGTGAAGTCACCGCCTGCGCACCCGCCGCTGGCATCAACAAGCACAGACGCCTCTGCGGCATCCTCGGCGGCGATTCGGACTAGCGCGCTGCTCGGAGAGAAATTTCGAGAACGCAACGAAATCTGCGCTGCCGTCAAAGCTCCATCTAGTCCGTCATATATTACATCCACCCATCCACATCACCGCATCCTCATTCAATTCCTGGTTGCCTCCATCTCCCAGAGCAACGCCCGTCACACACACCCACAATGCTGTCCTCGAGATTATCACGGACTGTGAGTACCTGCCCTCGCCTCGCCTCGCCTTTGTGCTAGGAAAAACACTGACGTCTTGCAGTTTTTGCCGCGTGCATCAGCAGCATGGCGCGCCCCCGCCATGAGGGCCCCAATGGGCTCCAAGTTTGTACGAGGATACGCTGAGGGCGGCGAGGAGAAGGTCAAGGGCTCCGTCATCGGTATCGATCTGGGTACCACCAACTCCGCTGTCGCCGTCATGGAGGGCAAGGTACCACGCATCATTGAGAACTCGGAAGGTACGTTCTTCACCTGTTGTCCTATAAAGGCAAGAGCAACCCGCTGACTTGACATTAGGTGGCCGCACAACCCCATCAGTCGTTGGTTTCACCAAGGAAGGCGAGCGTCTTGTCGGTATCGCCGCCAAGCGCCAGGCTGTTGTCAACCCAGAGAACACACTTTTCGCTACCAAGCGTCTGATCGGCCGCAAGTTCACCGATGCTGAGGTCCAGCGCGACATCCAGCAGGTTCCCTACAAGATTGTCCAGCACACCAACGGCGATGCTTGGCTCGAGGCCCAGGGTCAGAAGTACTCGCCCTCGCAGGTGGGTGGCTTCGTCCTCGGAAAGATGAAGGAGACCGCCGAGTCCTACATGGGCAAGAACGTCAAGAACGCCGTCGTCACTGTTCCTGCCTACTTCAACGACTCCCAGCGTCAAGCCACCAAGGACGCTGGACAGATTGCTGGTCTGAACGTCCTCCGTGTCGTCAACGAGCCTACCGCCGCTGCCCTCGCTTACGGTCTTGACAAGGCCACCGACGCTGTCGTTGCTGTCTACGATCTCGGAGGTGGTACTTTCGATATCTCCATCCTCGAAATCCAGAACGGTGTCTTTGAGGTCAAGTCCACCAACGGTGACACTCACCTTGGTGGTGAGGACTTCGACATCACCCTCGTGCGCCACCTCGTCCAGCAATTCAAGAAGGAGCAGGGCATCGATCTGAACAGCGACCGCATGGCCATTCAGCGTATTCGTGAGGCTGCCGAGAAGGCCAAGATCGAGCTGTCGTCCTCTTCGCAAACCGACATCAACCTGCCCTTCATCACCGCCGATGCATCCGGACCCAAGCACATCAACACCAAGCTCACCCGTGCTCAGCTCGAGAAGATGATGGATCCCCTCATTAGCCGCACTGTGGACCCAGTCCGCAAGGCCCTCAAGGACGCCAACCTCCAGCCCAAGGAGATCTCCGAGGTCATCCTGGTTGGAGGTATGACCCGTATGCCCAAGGTTACCGAGTCCGTCAAGAGCATCTTTGGCCGTGACCCTGCCAAGTCTGTCAACCCCGATGAGGCTGTAGCCATCGGTGCCGCGATTCAGGGTGCCGTTCTCGCTGGTGAGGTCACTGACCTGCTCCTTCTCGACGTCACTCCTCTGTCTCTTGGTATCGAGACCCTCGGTGGTGTCTTCACCCGTTTGATCAACCGTAACACCACTATCCCCACCAAGAAGTCCCAGGTCTTCTCTACGGCCGCCGACTTCCAGAGCGCCGTTGAGATCAAGGTCTACCAGGGCGAGCGTGAGCTCGTTCGCGACAACAAGCTGCTAGGCAACTTCCAGCTCGTTGGCATTCCTCCGGCTCACCGCGGTGTCCCTCAGATCGAGGTCACCTTCGACATTGACGCTGACTCCATTGTTCACGTGCACGCCAAGGACAAGTCCACCAACAAGGACCAGTCCATCACCATTGCCTCCGGTTCCGGTCTCTCTGACACCGAAATCGAGTCCATGGTCCGCGACTCTGAGCAGTACGCCGAGCAGGACAAGGAGCGCAAGAACGCTATTGAGGCTGCCAACCGCGCCGACAGCGTCGTCAACGACACCGAGAAGGCTCTCAAGGAGTTCGAAGACCGTCTTGACAAGGCCGAGGCCGAGAAGATCAAGGAGAAGATCACCACTATGCGTGAATTCATTGCCACGAGCCAGACTGGCGAGGGTACTGCCACCGCTGCTGAGATCAAGGAGAAGACCGACGAGCTCCAGAACGCCAGCTTGAGCTTGTTCGACCAGATGCACAAGGCTCGCTCCGAGAGCCAGAACTCTGGTGAGCAGCAGCAGCAACAGCCAGGCGAGGGCGAGGGCGAGAAGAAGCCGTAAATGCTCTGATCGCACTTCCTCAATTCGTCATCTCTCTTCTTTTTAGTATTTCACGCGAAAAAGCAGGCGTCTTTGCATCCGGTCATCATCGGTCTGGTTGGGTCTCTAGACTTGTATATTTTCCTACATCTTGTACTTATACCTCTGTTCGGTTCTCTTCTCCGAACCAAATGCGTATCACAGCCTCGCATCATTTTCGGTCGACCTGGGATGAAAAAGGCATAACGACAACATCTGGCAGAAGGAAATGTGACGGAAGACATGATCGTACAATGACCAAGACGAGTGTACTATAGTGCAGAGCCGCGAGATAATGTTGCATCTCCGCTCTACAACCAATTTACTTAATAACTGAACTCCCTTCCCATGAACGTGCGTGTAATTCGAGCTGCTCGGCGTTGTTGCACCCACGCATCCGCTTGCAGATATGTGCTTGTTTTATTCAGATGTTGATGCTATTCCATGTCCCAAAGCTGCCCCTCATAGCTCGGAGCCTCAACCTCGGAACTACCGCCCGTATGCTTGTTGTACTTACGTCACCACGACTTCACGTCACCACTCTCGATTTGGAACTCTAAACGGTACACTTTGCCAAGTAACGGATCACCTTCAGTAACATTACATACAGTTCACTTATGCGGCAGCAGGTCATACGATCGTTCCGCACTTCGGCAACCTCATCATCACTTCTCGCTTGTAGACTCGGATTCCCGTCAACATCAATTGCGCACTATACTGAAGCAACTCGATCATTCTCAATACGACCAACTTACAGCCTCAGCACCGTGAATCCGATTCCAGGACGCCAAATAAGTATTCGCAACAAATCGACGAAAGCCAAACCCACAATGACAGATGCAACCAACCACCCACTCTCAGGCCTTTGGCAGCCAACCCAGCTTCAGAAACTCCATTATGGATCAGAATCCGTCAAGGACCACTTGCTAGATTGCCTACCCAGCGAGAAAAGCAAGGCCTTCATCATCACCGGCTCGTCCCTAGCCACCAAGACGCCTCTGGTGAAGCAAGTAGAGCAGCTCCTCGGCAGCAAGCATGCCGGCACATTCTCAAAAATCGGCCAGCACGCACCCGTCGCCCAGCTTGACGAGGCGACAGAGATTGTGCAGAAAGACGACTCAATCGATACGGTCATTTCCATCGGTGGAGGCAGTCCCATCGACTCGGCAAAGGCAATAAGCTACCGCCTGCATGAGAAGTCCGGGAAGTGGCTGTATCACATAGCCATCCCAACGACACTGAGCGCAAGCGAGTGTACCATGATGGCCGGATACACCGAATCCGACGGCGTCAAGACGGGTGTCCGAGCCAAAGAACTCGTCCCCCACGTCGTTCTATACGATGCGCAATTCGCGCTTCAAACACCCGAACGCCTGTGGACGAGCACCGGTCTGCGCGCCATGGATCATGCCATCGAGCTTCTCTACCACCCCACCGCAACTGAAATGCCAGCGCGGTGGCTGACGTTGCAAGCCGCTGCGAGCTTATTTGAGAATCTGCCGAAATACAAAGCAGACCCTAAGAACGAGGACGTCATCACTAAGTTGCAACTCGCGGCTTTTGCATCCCTCGGATTTCTGGGGTATAACATCAAAGGCGGTCTAGGGCTGTCGCACGCTCTGGGTTACGCTCTGGGTTCTCCGTATGATATTCCCCACGGAATCACGTCGTGCCTGACGCTGGGGCATGTGGTCAAACTCAAGGCAAACGATGCTGCTGCGGCGGAGCAGGTTGCGCGTTTGTTGCCGTTTATTGGCGAGGCGGCGTCGGGCGATGCGAAGAAAGATGCGGAGAGGGTTGGGGATAAGATTTTGGAGTTGGTCAAGACGTTGGGCTTGGATAGCGACTTGAGGAACTACAAGGTTGGGAAAGATCAGATTCCGGTTATTACGAAGAGGGCGTCAGGACAGGAGAGTGGGGGCGTGTATGATGCGGTCGAGGGGTTGGTGAAGGGATTGTTTGTGTGACTGCCGGAGGGAAGGTTGTGATACGCCCAGGCATGGATGAATGAGGTGTAGAGTGACGGTACACATGTATGTGAGATATAGTTTAGGTATAGACACAGTCTCTGCTCAAGTTGAGAGAAATCAGACTCAGAACACTGGATGTACCCGTTGTCTTACTGGACGTTGTTCATCTCCCTACTGGTGATCGGTATCTTGTCAACCGATCCTTGTATCTTTGGGCAGATTCCTCAACAAGTCAAAATTAATCGACAGTAGGGACGAAGGGACACAGTGTGTGTTTGTTGACTTCGTTCCTATTGCAGTCTCGTTCTAGATGCTCCAGCGAAATACAACGACTGACACACAAAGCTGCGACACAAACTGAAGAATCATCAACGCCAGCGTTGACGGCACTATAGCATTCTGTAAATCCCCAGGGTGCTCTTTGAGCTAGCGTGGGATGAACCACGCTGTGCCGCCCAGGGTGAGCGCGAGCACGAGTAAGTTCAATATGACAATCTGCCAGACGGAATGTCGCTGTTCGACAAACATCCCATATACCTTTTTCTTGGCTAGCACATCATTATTGATTTTCTTGGGGAGCATTTTCTGCAGTGTCGAGTCTGTGCCGCATTGCTTTGGGTCGTTGAAGTAATGCCATAGTTCGCCGCTGGGAAGTGGGTCCTTCTCTTCCCAGTCCGCATAAATCTCACAATTGTACTCAGGGTGATTCAGGGGCAATACCTCTTCTCCTTTAAATACTTGCACGTGGTGAACCTCCTGCAAAGTTTGTTTAAAGGTCCTGAACTGCGGAAAGTGAGCGATAGAGGCGAGCTGATTAGGTGTCCTAGCTTACACGATAGAATTTGACGCCAGTGCGTCGCTTCCAGAAGTATCGGCTTCCCAGAGCATTGTATGCTTTGCGCAAATTCTCCATAGTCGTTCTGTCAGTATCATTGGCACCAATGAAAGCTGAGCGCGCTCTCGAGACGTTGGTGAATTGTTCGGCGCATACGAAGACTACTGGTCCCGTACCATCTGGTATGCACTGCTTTGTGTCAACTTTGGCAGGGGCTCCCTTCGGACTGCCTTTTCCTGGGTCTTCTTCGTTGTCATTTGCCGAGTCCTTTGCTGGTGGCGATCTTCCTGCTTCCGCTGGTGGAGCTTGTCCTGCTTCCGCTGGTGGAGCTCGTCCTGCTTCCGCTGGTGGAGCTCGTCTTGCTTCCGCTGGTTGAGATCCTCCTGCATCCTTTGTTGAACCTTCGTTGTAATCGGTCATTTCTATGCTTGATTTATCATCTCTCTCTCGATTTTTCTGCCTGCCTTTCCCTTTCGAAACTGTAGATGTGATATTTTGGCTGCCTTTGGACGCATATGGAAGACTCAGCTGGTCCTCCTTGCCTGTTGACTGATTTGGTCTGTCTATTAACCAGTGAGTAGTGATCCAAGATTTTACACGATGAGTCAACTGACCATTATAACTGGACAATAGGCGTATCAACGTAGTCCCGCTCAAGATCACAGAATCTCGATTCCTTGTTGCCCAACGAGATTTTGGTGCCGTTCTGCGTGCAGCTGCGAGTTCGCCGAAGAGTTTCTCGGCTAGCGAGTTTGGAATATCATCGTAGAAGCTTGGACTCCGTGTAGATGAATGAATGAGTGCCTGAGAATATACCCTTGTACAAGAAGCCTCGAGTTCTCTCTCTGGCTCGGACAATGGCCACCATGACAACTCAATACCAACGAGGCGCTCCGTAGCTGTTTTGCATGCGTCTTGAACTGTGTGTACAAGTGGTCTCGTAAATTGAAGCTTGTAGGAAAATTCCAGGCTTCTGTTGACCCCTTCAATGCCGTCCTGATCGGATACAGGATCTTGTAGATATGGCATTTCCACAGCTTGGCCGTGCGAATACAACCTGTACTGATTTGACAGAGGCTCCAATTCAATCCAGTGTTCCCACAACAGACACTGCTGATGCGACCCAAGCTTCTCGTTAATCTTCCTGCACAACATAAGCGATGGGAGCACCCCACGCTGTTTTGGTATTTCCTTTAGCGAACTGCAAAAAGAACGAATGAAAGATGGTTGCCCTGAAGAATACACGGATGGTTCTGACCAGACAGAGACCATGGTCTGGTATATCTGCCCAGGATTGAACATATGGCCCCCGGCCTTTCCCGCGGCGAGTGCATATTCGAGCGAAACATCATCCAATATGAGTAACGCATCGCCCTCCATTGCGTCGCTCATCATTGCATCCCTGATCGTTGTATGTACACTTCCCCACAAGGCTGCTTCCATGTATCGAGAACTTGGTCGAACATGTGTCTCAGTGTCTGGTGATGTTGGGATACCAAGGCCTCGAGTGGCGCTGGGGCTGCTGCAGAAGAACACAAGCAGGTTAGCTGGCGCGTCGTAATTATGAATATGCTCAGTAATTGCTCGACGCAGGGTGTGTTGCGCGTTCTTAGGATTGAGGTGCCGGCAGCTAACGCTGAAGTTGAAGTGTTGAAGGAAGATTTGCGCAAGGCGCTGTGTCTGAAGGATCTCAGTCTGTGAAGAAGTATGACTAGGAGTATTATGCTTACCTCCTCGTAGTATAGCCTGCTATGTTCGCTGTCTTCCTTCCAATCAATGATCAGAACGTGAACCTCTCCATAGGTTCGGACAGCTGTGGTAGCCATAGCGCCTATTAGTTGGTTCCGGAAAGAGTCCTGAGGACGTATGGCCCTTCACAAGACGAAGGGGCTCTACTCCACGTAAGTGATAATGCCTATCGCTGTTTCCTTTAGCAGAATGGGTGCCGCTGAGGAAATAGTTGGAGAACAGTGTATAAATGAGGACGGTAGGGGCGAAAGAAGAGGGGTAACTTCAGCTCCATCACAGCCGTGGTCAGCTCGCTTGAGCCTGACCAATGCGTTCCAATCAGGCTATGCACAGTTGATTGAAAATGCTGCCCGCTTCGATCCAATGGCCAGCCTACGATAGAGAGCGCTCAACTCCGGGCTGAAAAGATGAAATGTACCAAGGCTCTGCATAATATGTAGGACGAGCCTGGTGATCCAGACTGTTTCGTGAGGGTAATCGACAGAAGGCGACCCGTACATTTGCCTATCCACGTCCTGAATCTCAGTACTGAAGCATTGGGGTCGAAACTGTCGTTGACAGAACCTGTGTCTCTGGCCAAAACAAAGATTTCTCCGTCCTCACATACTATCCTCCCTCCACCGACTCCTCACCCTCATCCACCCCTCCATCTCTCCCTTGCCACCCCTCTTCTCCATCCCCAACCCCCGCTCCACCCACTCCTGACTCCCCATCTCACTCAGCCGACTCAGCGCCCTGGCAAACGCAAACCTCTCTTCATCACCGCTGAATATACTGCTGTTCTTCAGCATAGTCATGTTCATGCCCAAATCATCCATCAGGTTGCGCATAACATCCGAAATGGCTTCTTCGTCGTGCTTAGTGGCGGAGGAAGTGGGCGTGGTAGTGGTTGAATCGGGAGAGGATGTAGATTTCGGTATCGCGCCAGCTTTCGCAGACGCGGTGACTGCGTCGTTGAGTTCGGATTGGTCGAGGAAGAGGGCAGTTAGCGGGACAGCGGTCGTCATAACAAGCTTCGCCTACACCATGATTAATTAGCCTTTGCCCATCTCCCTTCCATTCCTAAACCACTCACCCTCGATTCGTAAATTGCATCAATAAATGTAATAAACCGCCTCGCGAGATCCCTGCTCCGGAAATTCATGCCAGGTACGTCTGTCACGATGAACGCCTCGTAATTCCTCGTCAGCTCGAGATAATCCGCCGCGCCGGTTGCCCGGCCGATGATCTCGTCGAACGTGAACCACGCGCATTTCCCGCTCGCCTTGGGCACTTCGATCTCGCGGCCCCAGACTTGGTGGGTTGCGCGGTGGGGCGGGTCGTTTTCGAAGTCGCCGAGGAAGCGGAACCAACGCTCTACATGCGTCTTCGCAGATGCGTCGAGGGGATGGTGATACACGCCAGATGGTGGGCGGGGAATCTTGCGGTAGTCGGTATCCGAGTCGAGGTTTAGGACTGTGAGTCGGGATTTTAGGAGGTTGATGCAGGGGATGAAGGATTCTCGTTGGATGCCGTTTTTGTAGAGGTCGTTTGGGTGGCGGTTGGAGGTTGTTACTATGACAGTGCCGTGGGCCATGAGGGATTCCATGAGGCGGCGGAGGATCATGGCGTCTGCGACATCGGTGCATTGGAATTCGTCGAAGCAGAGGACGGAGGCGCGTTCTGCGATGCCGGCTGCGACGAAGGGGATCGCGTCGATGTCGTTGCCGTGCAGCATTTTCATCTTGTGGAGTTCTTTGTGCACGCTTTGCATGAAGGCATGGAAGTGTATCCTAGTCTTGTGTGTGATATTTGGTGGGAGAGTGTCGAAGAAAAGGTCCATCATCATGGTCTTGCCAGAACCCACGTCTCCGTACATGTATATGCCCTTGGGTAGATTCGGATCTATCGGTGGTAACGCAGCCGCTGCTGGTTGCGAAGACGACATGAAGGAGAAGAAGGACTTCTTGGGTGGTTGTAAAGACTCGATCGTAGGTTGACGAACGGTCGGTTGTGTCCACGATGCAAGCATGACATGGAGATCTTCCAGATTTTTGATGATGCCTGACAGACATCAGTACACATCCTCCCTTAAACTACACATTCCATACATTCTTTGGTGTTCGTCGTCTCTCAATCGCCCAGATTCCACGCGCGCATCGTACTCGGCCATGGGTCCGTGAACCCTTTCAGGGTCGTCGATCGAGTCTACCAATATCAGCAGACAACTCGCTGTCTCAGATCAATCCTACGCACACTCATGCGCCGCTTGCGCATACCCTCTGTATGCGCCTGGGCCGGACCACGCAGCCACAGCTGGAAGCGGAGCACGTGCTCTGACATTCTGCCCTTGCGAACCTCTTCCAGCTCTTATGCTTTTCCTGCAATCCAAACATATCGACCGTCTTGCCTCCGCTGTCAACCCTCTCCCACTTGGTGTGATTCGCCTCGGTGTAGCATGTCGCGAAAGGGTCCGCAACCCTCGAATTGCGTCGGATGATGTCATATTCGCTGTGCGCGCGATTAGAAGCCTATAAAACACACAAGAAATATGTGGAGCTGCAGAAAGAGCCAGCCCATGCGACAAAATAACGCTCAAGGGGTATCACGCGCGACAAAGAGAGGCAAAGCAATTCGAGTGTCTGGCATGTGGGAACGTTGAAGGTCTTTAGCGGCCACGCGGGGAGTTCTCGCCGTCTCCTCGGCACGCCGGGAATCGGAAATAGGCGTGTCTAAGTTTAGCTTGGCACGTGGCATCGGCAGTAGAAAGACTGCCGGTGTGAAAGGACCTACGTGAAGTGAAAGGTTGGTCTCATTATTACTGTGCCTATGCTGCGTCCTCCTCCGCCGCAACGCTCTCATACCTCCCGCCATCGGCTCCGCACCACTTCTCGCGTACTTCATCTTCGGTACTTCGTACAATCGTGTATAGTCGACTCTGTCGCCAGCTAACCTCGCATAACCTCCTTCTTTCCGTCCAAATACGGGGCTGCCATCACAGAAGAAATCCTTGCAATTCGTGACAATACCTCGACTCCATGGATTGCCTCTCTGCTGCCGTTGTCCTGCTTGAGACCCTTGCAGTGCGGTTGCGACAAAGGTATCCAGACCGAGAAGGCGTTTCCATTGATCCCAGATGGAAGACTTGGGCTGTGGTCGACGTGGAGCATCGCCGGTGTCTTGTCCGGAGCCAAAGCCATTAGTGCTGGAACTATCACCAGCGCCCGTAATATCTTGCGAAGTATCACCGGTGGTGACGAAGGTGTTAATTGCATCGGCGGGTGTATGACTGTGTAAGTGGCCACGCATGCTTTCGTATGTGGTGAGGTTACGAGCTACCTGGAGTAGTTGCACGCATGCGAGCATCGTCACCCAGGTCAATTGAAAGGCAGCCCATATCGATAGTACGATCGTGTATGGGTCTTTGTTGTAGATCTTGCACAGGTCCTCGGAAATGATGGTGCACTGAACATGCTTTGGTGTGTCGCGATTCTCAAGGTCTGGTATCGTGAGCAACATAGTATGCAACCTGGAAGGGTAGACTTACAGGCAAGTACCAGCCTTACCCACGTCAGAATACCGAGCTCCAGAGAGAGTATGTAAAACACAAAGTGGCGGTGGTTGTTGTTCGCCACACAGTTGTTAACCCATGGACAGTGACTGCTGGAGTTAGCATTGTACATCGCGCTATCAATCAATTACGCACTGGTCACTCTTTGCAACGCATCGCTCACACCTCTTGCAGTGCTTGCTACGTAAAGGCTTGCGCACCATACAATTAACACAAAAGTGCTTTTCGTCAAACTGTCGTAGCTCCATAAGTTCGTCGATCACCGCCTTGGAAGCGCTCCTGCTCGCGGACTTGGGCACAAAGCCAGGATCAGATGTCATGGTGAAGAAGTAGAAATAACCCGTGAGGCCGTAAAACATTGCAAACATTAGGTTGAGGAAGAAGTTGCCTCGTATCGTCCCTGCTAGTCGTTAACAAGCGCAGTTCCAGATCATGGGGTGCGACATACATGGTAGGATGGTCGTTATCCAACGGAAGCCGACCCAGAAAAGCGTGCCAGCAAATATACCAGCAAGAAAGGGCTGAAATTGTCAGCGCGATCCAAGGACTTTGATACTGCAGTACTCACAGTATGATGTATCGACCTCATATTCGACGGCGCCCACATCAACAGCTTTTGCGCTGCCCACTGCATCAAGTATGAACTTATCAACGCCGCCGGAATGCCAATAAACGACGGGAAATAGCTGAGCAAAAACAGCGCATTCAAGATGATCGCAAACGGCCAGAAGAATATAAAGCGCGACAGGAACCACCTCGTATCCTTGACTCCAGGGACGGGAAAATGCTTCGGGTTACCCTCCTTATCGAAGCCGGCTTGAGACAATGCGCGATGCCATTGCCGCGTGGTATTCATCTCTTCCGCTGTCATAGCCGGTGTCTTGCCGTCATTATTCTTCGCAAACCGGTCCGCGCCGTACTCGAGGAGCTTCTGTATGGACTCTTGCGATCCCTTGACTAGTGCCCAGTGCAAGCCCGTGAAGCCCTGGTCGTCTGTCGCATACACATTTGCGCCCCAGCGCAAGAACAAATCCACGCAAGACGGATAGCCCTTGTATGCTGCCCACATGAGCGGGGTGTGCGACTGCGGATCTGGTATATCCACGGGTATGTCCTGGTGTAGGAGCAAGACTAGCTGGTAGACGTTGCCGTCGAGAGTCGCCGAATGCAGCAGGTTGAAGCCTTGGTCGTCGGTGAGAAGGGGGTCGGCGCCGTGATCGAGGAGGAGGTTCACAATGTAATAATTGCAGCGCTTTGCTGCCCATAGGACGGGTGTAGCTACCGCATCACCGCCTTTCGCATTAATCGGTGCACCGGCTTGTATGAGGTAGTGGCAGAGGGCATAATGGTTGTTGATAGCCGCCCACTACAGCAAGGTCAGCATCTCCATCATGTCTTACTCCAATGCTCGTACGTACGTGTAGTGGCGTTATGCCCTGGTCATCTTTATATGTCGCATCGAACTTCCCCCCATCAAACAGCTTCTGAATCGCTCCAATCTCGCCCAACCTCGCCAACTGCATAATATCCTCCTCCACCGGCAAGCTCGGCTTCCTATCCGCCATATTATCGAGCTCATGCTCAGCCGACACGTCGGGTGAGGAGGCAGCGGAGGCCATCTCGGGGGTCCGATGAAGTTGGAGATAAGGACCAAGAAAACCTCACGCGATGGCAATTTCAGGTGACGTCCAACGTTGTTTTACGGGTTATCGGGATATTTGCATGCTGGAAATATGTGTCAAAACGGTCTGACGAGAGCAAAGCAGGCTGGCCAGCGTGCGCGGAAGATGCGGCGTTCTCACTTGTCGGGACGTGACCAATGCGTTCATCGTATCCTAGGCCCCTGCTGTTTCCACGCGGATATAAGTGGCGCAGCCGCGTCAGCCCCATTCCGAGCAACTGCCGCCGCCGAACACATCTCACGACGGGATTCAAACTACTTGTTTGAGCAAGTCGGCAAACGGCGTCGATTGTAGTGCGCTGGTAAGTTTGCGTGAAGGTGTTTGCTAGCCTTTAGCTAAACTACGTTTAATGGACAGCGTCAGGTGGTCCTCCACGCCGTCACAAAGTCAAGGTCAGACACTTACTAGTCACAGAAAACCACAGTGAGACAAACACACTTTCGACTGCCACGTATGTTTCCCTGTAATTTCATGTGCGATTCTTTTTTCTGTAACCCTAACGCCCTTGATACAATTCCCACTTCTTCATCCTATTCTACGCTAACATTCCACTAAACTCACTTCCCTCCTTCAGCATATCCGCCGCCTTCCCGGCCTTGATCAATTTTCCCTTTCCCAGTACAACACAGTAGTCTGCATTCTTAACCGCCTCAAGGCGATGCGCAATAGTGATCACAGTACTCTGCTTCATCTCTTCTCTCAGCACACTCTGAATGCGCTGCGCAGTCTCAAAATCAATTGATGCAGTCGCCTCGTCCATGATGAGTACAGGACTTCGCCTTAGCATTGCGCGCGCAAGACCGACGAGTTGGCGCTGGCCCTGTGAGAGACCTTTGCCTCCACCTTCGACATTGGTGGATAAAGTCCAGTTGTGGTTTCCTGCGATCTTGGAAAGGACAGACTCGCAAGCGGCATCGGAGTACTCATCGAGGGGATCGAGGTTTTTGCGCATGCTTCCGGGAAAGAGGACGGGCTCCTGGGCGAGGAAAGTGACGCGGCTACGCAGTGCTTGTTTGCTAACGGTGGAGATGTCGATACCGTCGATGCGAATTGTACCACTTTCGGCAGCGATAGTGGCCAATAGAGAGAGAGCAAGTGTAGACTTGCCTGAGCCTGTGCGTCCGATGACTGCGGTGTTGCTGCCAGCTGGGATTTTGAGCGTGATGTTCTGTAGCGCAGGTTCTAGGTTGGGTGCGTAGCGAACTGTAGCGTCTTCGAACTCGATGTCGCCTGAATACGTTGGCCAATGTGCAGGCGGGTCGACAACACCTGGCTCCTCTTTCTCGATATCCAGCAGCTCAATCACACGCTCCACACTAGTAAAGTCCATCTCTAGCTGACCATAGATTCGGCACATGTACTCGGTGTGTACAACAAATTTACTCGCCGTGATCAAGACGAAAGCTGTGAGGCCAGGACTGAGGCCTACGTATATGGCAATGAGCGTCATAGCCAATGTCGAGCTAGCGGATAAGAGACTGAAGCGCAGTCCAAGCCAGGATTGCAGAGACCAGTAGAAGTGGTCATTCTTCTGGAAGTTGTCGACAACCTCGATGACGCGCTCCTGGAACCGGGGCTGCGCGTTGAAGGCGCGAACGGTAGTGAGGCCCTCTACAAGTGCGCCGAAATTGGACATCAGAGGGGAAAGAGATACCATCTGTGCGATTGTTAGGTCGTGTGCAGTTCTTACAAATGGCTAAACTTACCTCAAGTCGCCGTAGGCTTTGCGACGTTGGCAGAAAGCGGAAGAAGTAGTAGACAAAGCCACAGCAGAGAAGAGCACCGAATGCCAGGAATGCTGGTGTCGATGTCAAAATGATCGCAACGGCAGTGAACCATCCAATAAATTGCCACACAAAGACTGTGAAGGCACTGCTCAAACCTCCATCGACTGTGTTCATGTCACTTGTGAGCCGGTTCATCAGGCGACCCACCGGTGTAACATCATAGTATCTGAACGTCGCATGTGCAACACGCTCAATGGCTCTCTGGAAGATGGACTTCGCTGCAAGGTATCCCACACCAAACATGATAATGTATGTCCACCAGAAGAGAATTGATGTGGCAACGACAAAATAGAAAAATGTCTGCAGCCATGGAATGACGTCGTCATGCGCTGGAGGGAGGTAGCCAAAAATACCCTTCGATGTCGGATGTGTGTAAGATTCGCCCCATGCTTTAATGAACCAGGTTTGCAACGTGTCGAGAATGCGATATACAAACATGACCAGGATGACAACAAACCACCAGCGCAATGTACCAGCCTTAATGTAGCGCCAGTATACGGAAAGTTTCACGCCGCCTTTCGTGCGTGTTTCGTCCTCGATGAACTTGTCCGGAATGGCTGCCGCTTCTTGTTCTTTACGCCGCTGGGCCTCTTCCTCAGATATGGATTCATTTGTTTGCGTGCGTTGTAGCGATAGCTTATTCTCTTCATCTTCTGTTGGCTCGTGAATCGTAGCTTTCCCATGCTGGAGCTCTACCCATTGTTTCGCAAGACCACGACAGAGTTCTGTGCGATGTGTGACAAGAATGGTCGTTCTCCCCGCAAGTAACGGACCGGCAAGTAGCTTATCTACAATGTACTCGGCTGTTTGGTGATCAAGTGCTGAAAGAGGATCGTCAAGAAGAAGGACCTTGGCACTGCTATACACTGCACGTGCAAGTGCAACGCGAGCTTTTTGTCCTCCTGACAAGCCAATACCGTTCTCTCCAATATTTGATAGATCGCCATGCTTGAACTCTGCCATGTCTGGCAGCAATGCGCAAGCTTCGAGGACCTGCTTGTATCGCGCTTCTTCGTATGGCTGCGAGAACAAAATGTTCTCTCGTATGTTCATGCTCTGAAGCCATGGGGTTTGCGCGCAATATCCCATGACCTGGTCTGGTTGTATGAACTCTCCTTCACGCTTGTCGAGCTCACCCATCAGGGCTTGTAGTAATGCAGTTTTACCTGCAGCTACCTCACCGTATACCATGGTCAAGCCTGGTGGAAATGCCATTGTGATGTTTTCGAGCACATTCTGCTCCACACCAGGCCAAGCAAACGAAGCGCCTTGGAGACTGAGGTCTGCGGATCCTTCTGGGACGACGTCTGCTTGTTCCTTATCGGGCTCAGCCATGAATTCCTCGATTCGACTCATGGCAACGTAGGCATTAAGCATCGTCGTGACCAGCTGTGGCAAGGCGCGGAGGTAGCCTTCTAGTAGATTGAAGAGATCGATGGCAGGAAATATCAGGTCGACTTGCAAGGACTTACCCTCCCATCGTGTGTACGCAAAAAATGCGATCGCTGGGAAACATCCGGAACCGAATCGCAGCATGAAAGCCAGTGTTGTTGAGAACATAATTTGAATGACACGAAGATGCAGTTCCGTCTGTCTGGACTCTAGGATGCCCTTCATCCAAGATTCTTGCCAGCCATACCAGCGCAGGTGTCGTATCGATTCGATGAACTGTGTTGTCCTCTGCAGTTTCTCATCTGTCGCGACTCTGCGCTTCTTCTCGAAGTAGATCTGGAAGCGAGCAATGACGATGTTTACCAGCTGTGAGCCGGCCAGTGCAACGACGCCAAGCAGGCAAGCCCATCCGAGCATGCGCCAGATTAGCACCGTCGCAAGAATAGCTCCGGCAGGCTGTGTGAGGATTTCGGCAAAGTCCCAGAAACGCTGCGCTATCTCGTACACATCGTTGCGCATTAGGTTGAGGATCTTGCCCATGGAAGCGCCCACCTTCTCCTTCTCAACTTCTTTCTTTGACTTTCTTGAAAATATCGATCGCACAAGGGCAAACAAACGTTTGAGCCAATGTTGAGGTACGTCTTTCGTAATCTCTGGAGAATGTCCATTTCCACCATTCAGGTCTTGGCCGTTCTCGGAATTGGCATGCCCGTTAGTGTGCTCTTCTTTTGTCTCTTGCTTTGCACCCATGATCTTGCGGTTCAGTGTCTTTTCGTACAGCATCGTAATTAGCTCGCCACGTGAACGTTCATATGCCCGCCTTTGGTACCAAAGATTAAAGACTTGTAGTTGTGCAGCAAGCAGACGAAAAGCCACAGTAAGAACAGCATAAGTAATGGTAACATTGGCAGGCTTACCTTCACGCATCGAGGCAAGAAGACGCTGTAGTAGAACGGGTGTAGCGAGTGCTGATGAGGTTGTTAGTCCTTCCGCGATCACGAAATAGATCTCAAACTCACTTGAACCTAAGCGTATGAAACTCATTGTGGTTGTACGTATCAGATCCATGCCGTTGGCAGTAAACACTCTTCGCGTTACTGAACCCGGAAGCTCCCTGAAAGTTCGGTGAAGGCGCGCATGCTTAAATTCCCAAGGCAGATCCCATACATCCTCATCATCTAGCTGTCGCTTGTAACCTTCCTGTACCATAGGGGCCATCCATGCCACGGTCATATACTGCCATGGCGTGAGGTTGTCCTCCGGAGTTCGCAAATTCACCGTCGGGGTGGTATATATTGCGCTGATATCATCATTCGGCATCATTGGATCTCTGAATGGCATGTTGAGTATCGTGATAATTCCCAATAGAGCCATGATTGGTCCGAGCACAGAAGGTATGTCTTCTACCTTCATTTTGTTGATGAGGTGTTGAGCGTGAGACAGTTCAACTAATTGAGCAACGAGAAGTGTCGATAGCAACAACAATAAAGCCATCGATGCAGTCCTCGGTCGCTCAACTATTATGATAACCACAGCGATACCCTGTCGTCTTGTCAGCTATTCGAACTTTTTCCAAAGATTGAGGCTAACCGGTACTTACCCATGCTATCGCAGGATAGATCTCCAGAATTTGACGTTTTGGAAAGAACACGGTCAGAATCTGTAGTAGTAGACCCACTACTACTATCCCCAAGAGGCTCAGTGTAACAATCGGTGTTGGATGCTTCGGCTCGTCCTCCAGATCCGTTGCTTTCTCCTTCGCCTCTTCTATAAATGGCTTTGTCCATCGTGGCTGGTATGCACGAAAGATTTGAAGCGAGTAAGTTAGCAGTACAAATGCCGCTATCAAAGCTGGAGCGGCTGTAATGAACGGCATAAAACACGGCGTAAAGCGTGCTCGGTCCGCGTCCTTTACAAAGGTTAGACTTGGCCAATATGTGACACAAAAACATACCCATATCTCGTGGCATTGCGATATTGGCTTCGTCTCATTAAAGGACGCCCATGAGCCTGGCGACATTGGCGACATTGGTGTTTGTAACGAAGCCATGATGACGATCCGCAAGGCGGCGACTTTCAAAGCTATCTCAGTGATATCTCCCTCCTCCGCAGCCTCAACCGGTCAAGCCTCGAATTTCTCTGCGCGGTCATGGGGCGGGCTGTGCGTTTAGGTGCTGCTAGGCATCAGTGAGACGAAGCAAAGCGATAGTCATGATGTCGGTGAGTGGTTGATGGATTAAGGCGTTCTTCCATCCGGCGCTAACTTGATGAGATCTAGCATGCTGCCCCACAAAGAAGTCGCGATCCATCAAACACATAATTTACACAACGTCGGCCTCGTGGTCACACTCACATACTAAGCGCACGCTTGGAAATGTTCTGTCGCGTCAGATGTGTTTTTGAGCTTACTCGAGCGGCTATGGAGACCACAACGCAGTTATCTGGCTTCTAATGTCACCCTTGCACCTAACGAAAGTGGGAAAATGACGCGATGCATCGCGTCAAAAGTCGCACTCGAGCATCCAACTAACTATGAATTCATACAGCATCTGGTCTCAGGCAACAACACCTACATGCCGGGCGCTTTAGTTGCTGCCACATGGACACGCTACTCCGTTGAGACCACCATGTTCTCTCTTTGGTCACCCTTCTGTGCACATGCAGGCTCGCGTTCTTTCGTTTCATCATGGACAGGAAATTGCACACGTAACGAAGTGCGATAATCGTGCATAAAGCCCTCCGACTGATGAACTTTGTGTGACTTCAGCTCACGGTCTGCAGGATTTCGTCGCGCGCTACAGCCTCAACTTGGTGACGCTCGAATGCTCATAGTTCGTACAAAGCGTGTATGAATCATTGCAGCACATGTTGGCCGCAGCTACAGGCTCTCACAAAGATAAGCTGCGCGCATCATGCGACGGCCCTAACGTTACGCTCCCATAATCCCTGTCATCAATTCATGTTAGGCAGATCCCGTCAGCTGATCGCCAAATACAATGGATGAGAAGTGTTGAAAGAAAGCTAGCATTCAACCTTCTTATGTCTACCATAGTCTCGACATTTAGAGCGCACTCGACTGCCTGCCATAAGCCATGCGCGATTTCCTCAAGGTAGCTCTGTTCCATCGCGTTTTCAGCGACAATGCTATGTATATGCTATATCTGGCCACAATTCATGGCAACTTTTCGAATCTTCACGCGATTTCGGGCCTGAAAAGAGCAGAAAAGGAGATTGGAGAAGGATGAACATGGCTGGACCTTGAAAGCGTTGATTCTTCACAACACAACTCGACTGGTAGCAGTTACGGTGTTCCTGTTGCACTGTCACAGACGAGTCCAAATTAGTCGGAAACGGTCAAGTCAATCTCCCAATAGGCTGGCGGAAGGGCGAGCGAGCCTAGCTTGTAAAGGGAACCCGCCAATCGGGCCGACATTCGGTGGCTGTTCCTGCACAGCCATTGATACAGATGGGCCTTATGATAGGCATGCACTTTGCAGCAGGACTCGATGACTGTAGTTCGTCGATTACTGTCTCGCTAGCGAGGTATGGCAGATGTCTCAGCCACCTCAAGCGCCATGTCTCTGGGCAACATGCACATACATCGGAGTCCAAGGTTTGATCCTTCGAAACCTGCCACAATTCAGGCGCGATACGTATACAAGAGATACCAGCTTTTAAGGCCGCGCTCGAAGCAGACGCTCTAGAATTCCAAGGAAGACAAGTAAGCTACCGAAGATATCAACGTGACGGCGTCTGGGCGTACCATCCTCTCAGCGTTCCTGCCAATTCCATAATTCGATTTGAATTCCTCATTCGCAACGAGACGATCAAAGATTTACTATTTCCACCCGAGTACAAGAACTTCCATGGTACGCTCATACAGCCCTTGGCTCCATACAAATCACCACACTATACAACAAAAACGTGGCACATCCCATCGCTGCCAAACGATCGCGCTCTGAAATTCTATAAGCACGTCGACAGGACCCTGCAGGTACCTAGAAAGAGCTGTGTAAAACAACCTTCCAATAAAACTGTGGTCCAAGGGCCGACATCAAGTTCCAAGACAGAAGGAAACGTAGCGGATGGATGGGAGGTGAATCATCGTCGTGGCCCTTTCCCAGCAGTGCTTTTAGCCAGCATAGCATGGTTTGGTCAATCCCGCAGCGAGTGGGATCTTTTCGATGGTGGTAAATTATACAACTTCACTCTCTATCATAGCATTGACTCCAAACCTGCCTCAGATGCCAACTCTACACTAAGTGGGGGCCAGGAACGCTCTTGGGGACAATCAAACTCGAGGCGAAAGGCAGCTGGGTACGCATTCCTGACAAAACGCTGGGGAGTTTGAGGACTGCAAGGAAAGAGAGAAGGCACTATATGAGATTGTGATCCTGCTCGTGGCCTATGTACAACATACATGGTATCATGCATCAAGGATCAAAGTGAGTAGTTGTGGAGAAAGGACAGGAGGCTCGAACGCTTCTGCGACGATGTCCGCAATGTCTGGATTTTTTGTTGATCAAGCAATTTTGACTAGGTTTACGGGCTGGAGCGATAACTTTCAAACATTGTTTTCGTCAAAATGGGGCCAAATCCTTGCCGGTCGCAACCATTGGACGACATCACGAACACCCCACGCAGAGTGCATATGGACGCGCCACAACTGCATCTTTGACACATATGGTGTATTGAAGCGTCACCATTAATAGCACAGTACCCTGTATCTGTCGTACACCAAGAGTTCAGCTGTACGCTGTGTAGTGATGGGAGACAGCCTCCCTTCACTACGACGATTTGACTAATATTTGCGAAATATGCTTCTGTGTTGCTTCACTGCAGTAAATATGTGCGCAGCGGAGCCTTTAAAACCACAAGCTCTACATCCATCGCCCACTCTTACAGGATCGGAGGGTCCCGCTGAACGACTTTAGAAGAGCTTTAAGCGAACTCCTGATTGCGGCACAGCAGCGACATCCAACTGCGCCACGACCATGGCAGTTTCATGCGACAGTACACTGCCGCCTACGAGGCTGGCCAAGCACTGAGTACAAGTACTCTTGCGTTTTGCACTGTAGAAGCTATATTGCACTTCAGTATTACACCTTCCATACTTCCAATTCACATCATCTTCGTAGTAGACATGTCGCGCTCATACAGCCAGATGTGTCCAAGTCGATTCCCCTCACCAACACCATCTCGTGAGACAAGCCCAGGGCCTTCTATCAGACTTGAAAGTCCATCTGTATCGCCCCAGCATCCTGTCCCTTCCCTGAACTTCACGGCATCAGGATCGTTCCGCAAGCGCCCTCGGATTGCAGACTCGCAAAGTGAGCCGGTCGTACCCAGAAATGACGACCAAGCTTCATCTCCATCACCGTCTTATCTATCGCCTGAAACACATGCCACCAATCGACGAAGAGCATCTGATCCGCTTCAAGGTAGCATGCAGAGTCCCAACCCTGGGCAACGACGACGAATTCGAGCAGTCAGCGCTCAATCGGGTCGTCGGCCACGTTCTCCCCGTATCGCACGACAGCCCATCCTGCTATCCACCTCTCAATCTTCCCGTCTCATCGACACTCAATTGCGTGAAAAGCTCCGAGAAACCCTTACGCCTAAGGACGCCATAGGCACCATAGGCACCATCTACACGTTCGAAAACCCAGACCGCCCCGATCTCGGCGTCAAAATCGGTCTTACGGAATGCGCCGACTATACCAAACGCATTGAGTCGCATCGCAAGCGTTGCAAATTCGAGCCAGACGAGATCGTTTTCCAGCACAATGTGCAGAATTGCTTCCGTACGGAGCAGCTCATTCTGGCAGAATTGAGCGATCGCAGGAGGTATTGGGAGTGCGAAGAATGCAAGCCTGGGAAGACTATAAGACATGGAGAGTGGTCGCTTATTAGCAGGGAAGAAGCGACCACGGCTGTGCAGAAGTGGACAAAGTTCATGGATGAACAGAAGCCGTATGATTGCATGGGGAATTTAACACCCTTGTGGTCCTATCTTCTACACACACGTAAATTCAATGAAGGTGCCGATCACGACGCGCGCAGGGAACAATGGAACGCCATCCTCGCTGCTCCGACATACCGCGAGTACTGTGGCTTCATGATCGATAGACTGGTCCGGACGTGGCGAGCACTCCACAGTACGATTTTGCGTATTTGGCCATGGTGCAAGGCTTTCTTCTGGCAAATGTCGACTTTGACATATGGATTCGTGGCATTGGTTGCGTTTCGGAATGCTTTGGCATCGAGTGCGTTCGCTCTGTTCTCGCTTTGTGCATGTATTAAGTGCACGTCCTGAGTTGGAGGCGTTGTTAAAGTCGCGACGAAAGAGCTGAGAAAGACGATCTCGATTGGATTGAAAAGACAGGTGGTATTAGCAATATAGACTAAACAATAAATCAACTAAATTTTGCCGTTGAAAACGATACCATGAGAACGAACAGGACAAGCGAAAGGGACAATTATCTTGTGATGCCCCAATCGCAGACTTCAATTCCTAGCTCGTCTATACGGAATGGTAGGAACGATTTCCCCATTTTAGTTCTGTTTTGGTGGCTGCACATTGACAATCTGAGGTTGTCCATACGCGTGATTACCCTCCAGCTCACTCGAGAATGGCCTCCCCTCACTAGCCATATACTGTGCGGGCTGCACATTCTGTGGCGCCGGGCTGATCGATGGAGAAGGCGCACCATATACTGGCTGGGCACCCGGCTGCTGCCACTGCTGGGGAGCTGCGCCGTAAGGACTTTGTGAGCCTTGGGGTGTAACCGGGGACTGGGGGTTTGCGCCTGGGCCATAGTATCCGTCTTGCTTGCCGACACCAAGAGGTGCTGCAGCAGCGTTCTGTTGCATATCGGGATAATATTGTGGAGGCTGGGCGGGGTTGTTGGTAGGGTAGGTGTTCTGCTGGTATGCTGTTGCACCTGGTGGTGGCATGCCTCCGGTAGCGGGTGCGACAGTCAGGTTGCGGGACTTGTTCTTCTTGCGACGAATAAAGAAGCATGCAAGCAATCCAATGATGGCAAGACCGAGAATTGGTCCAACAACGGCTCCTGCAATCCATGCTTTGCTTTTGCTCTTGCGTCTAGTGCCGAAGCTTGAGGATGATCCACCTACTGGGTCGCTTTCTGGGCTCAGTGTTGGAACACTAGTAGGTATGAGTGATGCACGGCCAGGCAAAGAGAATGATGCCGAACGCGTTCCTATGGCCTACATTAGTAAAATAGCTTTATACAGACATGGGGACACCCATACTTGTGGAAGATGTTGTCTCTGTTGCAGCCACAGGAGCGGTACGATAGTAAGTCCAGTCCAAAGACGATACACCGCAGACAATATTGACTTTGGAGTTGGAGTCGCGCTCGTTCTCAAACATGTATGCGGTATTACAGAGCGAAAAGGATCTATCTGTGGAGGCAGTCCAAATTGATGTACTGTAGTAATTAGTCTCGAGTTTACCATGCGGAATCTGCGTTGAAGAAGACATACCAAGCTAGGGTGATTAAGCTGTTGGACAGCGACTCCGAGCCGCTTGCAGTCGCTCGATAAATCATGTTGCCGTTGACACAGCCGACAGCAAGATTCGCACCACAGTCGGACCTTGTCGTCGCGCAGCATCCCCACCGGCTTGCATCCTGATAGTATTTATTGCCTGGCAGAGTCAGAATGCGTGTGGAACATGCGAGGAACATAACGCACCCAGATCACAAATCTCAGTAGACCAAGCGCCCGCCTCGTCGGCTACCCATCCCATGTAGCGCTGGTCATTCTGCCTCCTCACGAGTTCAATCTGTGGTCCTGGAGTGATGAGTGCATCCGAAGCCGGCTCCACCGCGGATGGGAGTAGAGCTGCGATGCTGCTCGAGATGAGAGCCGAAAGTATTACAGTTGGCGCAAGCATGGTGAACAAACGCTTCAATTATGAAGGCGACTCACTCGAGTTGATCAATGACCCCTCGAGCTTGATGTCAAAGAGGCGATCAAGATAGAGTAAGAATGTAGCGGAACTGGTGGCCTGACAGCTGATCTAAATGATCATGAGCAGGGGCAGCCCTTTCATAAACCACCCACGCTCCACATCTGCGCCATGGTATGCTCAACCCGAGAGCAAAACCGAGCATACCGGTCAACGTGCTGGTCAACCCACTGAGGCTTTCCAGATGCTGGGACCATGGCTGGTAGACCCAATGAGCAGGGCGATATCCTGCAGCCAAGATGCAGCCTTCCCGAAAACAACATGGCTCCTCGTATCTTTCGCGAAAGCTGAAGTGGTACCAGCGTGTCGTGGCACTCACGCGGTGGCCGGAAAGGGAAAATGTGGGATGTGCCTGAGCACGACTTGCATTGTTTTGGTCTAGAGGCGGGCAGTAGCGCCGTGGGCTGAAGGCCAAGACATGAAGTTTTACAGGGGATAGCGAGCACCAGAGATATGACTGGGAAGACCTACATGATCTTCAGAAATCATTGCCGTGAAATGACTACGCAGGGCTGTTTTCGCAAAACCCGTGGTGTTAGCGAGGCTGCTGCCTGACGGTAGATTGATGTTTGTGCAACCTAAGCACTAAGCGGCAAGCCGTAACACTGCATTGTCCCGCGCTGGAAATTGCTGCGCCGTGGGCATAGAGTTTAAAGAGTCTTTCGGTTCCCGGATATGTTCAGACATCAAGTAAGCCCTTGTGTGCCCTTGGACTCTTCCGGGCAAGCGTGCTGGTGCAGAGATGGAGTATTTGCGGTCCTGGACCCTCGACGCCGTACCGAGACAGCGAAGTGATGCATCGACAACCGAGTCTGTTCGTTTTGCTGTTCCCATGATGTGGTTGTCGGTATACGCACCGTTCACACTAGAAGTTTTGCCCACCGCCCTGCGCCACACTCGGAATGGTACTGAGCCAGCCTGCTGGAAACGAGGAGGTGGCTGCATTCGTGAGTCCAGTCTCAATGACACAGCATATTTCTCGATGCTCCAGGATCGCAAACTCTTATCGCATGCTGTCTATCTTCAAGTAGATAGCGAAGTGTGACGGATTCCTGTCGAGTACCCGGGGTGTATACAGTGCGCACAGCTTGGAGACTTTCTGCAGCTTGCGTCGTGAAACGTCCAATGTCATGGGCGCGATGCTTCAGAAATCCCTTCATCCATCGGCTGCTCGGACATAGAAGGCACGAGCGCGACGGCTATTGCGAAATCGCCGTCATGACTGATGCTGATCTCACACAGCTGCCCGTCCAGGCCATCAACATTATATGAAGACTTGTGCCCTACAGAGAGTGTATGGACTTCTACATCTATTGTGGAGACGTATGGGCTGTCGAGAATCAAGCCCTGAGGCCGGACAGACTGGTGTTTCTGACGAGGAGCAAAAGCGACCGGGAGGATCATGATGCTCTGGAAGCCGCGTGTCGAGTCTTCGAAGTGGTCGCATGCTTTGCGAATAGCCTCTTTGGCTGCGAATCTGTGTTGATGTTAGGTGATGTTGCGAATGCTGAACGGCTTGGCTTGCCTGCCAGCAAGGAAATTAGACGCGATATCAAGCTTCGTAGAGATATCTTCAGGCGGCCCGAATCGATTCCAAAAGTATGCGCGCTCCGGAGTTGTCAGAATCTTCTTGGTGAATTTGTGGACGTATGACAGCTCTTTTCCGCGCGCAAGCATTGCTCGGATTCGCGATACATTGCAGATATCGGTCCCGAGTCGCAGCGCACTTGGAAAAGGTCGCGGTGGCATGAGGGTGTTTGAGACAGCTGTATGGTAATGGGAGTTTGCGCGTTGAGGATGCAGGTCTTGGCGACCAAGTCCCATCACCACAACACCGCCACCAAGGCCAAAAACCGTCCAAACTCTTATTCTTCTGCGCAAAAAAGTCTTTTTTGAAAATGCTGGGGCCCAAGTTTTGCACAACCCCCCAACATCCACCCACCGGCCCGCTACATACCAATTCACCACCACAACACGACCCAGAACTCGGCTTTGGCAAAAAGAAACGACGTAGGCAGGATTCGAACCTGCGCTCCCGAAGGAACAAGATTTCTAGTCTTGCGCGATAACCACTCCGCCACCACGCCAGTTGTGTTGGTTACTTGACCTGAGTGATCAATTTGATGAAGGCACGGAACAATGAATGGTATATATTGCTTCTTGTTGGACTCACTCTCCATGGAGTGGTCTGGAACCGAGTTTGGTATTCGAGCGGGGCCCTGTATATGTAGCCACGTAGCGTACCAAAGTGCTCCACTCCTCGGACACCAACACTTCGCGGCATTTGCCAAAGTGATTATGGAGCCGGAAGGTATCCACGTCTCGGTTGCTCACAATCCCGCGGTCGAATAATGACATGTATCTGTCTAGTGTCTAGAAGTTGTTCTTTCGGACCCCTGACTGCTCCGTTCCAAAGAAGTTGGTTGTTCGGCACAGACTCGAGACTCGAATCTAACGACGAACGATTGCCGGAAATAGCCTCTCGCATCCCAGGCCGCATCTCTACATCTCGTCCGGGGTCAACCACCAGGCGGGCACCAACGCTGCCACTCTTGTCTCCTCACAGAGTGGCGTTCCCAACTCTCGGTGTTTAAGCTGATGATCGTACGAAAGACCCCGACGCTACCGTGTCTCTGACCAATGATGACCACCGATTCACACGATCCCTGTCGCTATTGGCTTGCTTCTTCCAAGTCCATATCAATCCCCCGGGCCAGCATTGCTTACTACAGTTTGTCTCGCATGGGTATGCACGCCCCGACTAGAAGGATGACGATTGAGGTCAGCAACGATGCACCCAAATGCCGCCCCGTTATGTGGTCGGAGGTTAGGATCCCTGGTGCGCAAGCTGTATGACATACTGCGAGTGGGTGGGTTTTGCATGGCCGTGTAGCCCTGCATTCCCGAAGGCGGAAGCTGCGGCGGGCACGGTGTTGGTCCGAAGTGTGGGCATATAATCACAAGGCGCCGCTCGGTGACGTGAGAAAGGTGTTGGTACTGTATATGTTCTTTTTTTAATGTAATCTAGGTGGTACTTGGTTTGAGTCCCTCGCTGTTTTGTCGCTGCCTTCAACACGAGCAAATCATCATTGGCAACCGACAAAATGCTTCCGTTAACATCGCCACGCTTGCCCGGCGTTCCGATACTTCACGCACAATCCACAGGCCCGGAATTCTCGAGATGGCGGCGCAGCATCAAGTTCGCTCTCGAAGCAAAAGGCACATGGAGGTATTGCAGCGGCGAATGCACTATGCCCATGCCTTCATCCCCAACGATGTCAACCGCAAATCTCCAGCCTAGCCTACTAGAGGAGCGGAGAGAATGGGTCAAGCATGATCGCGAAGTCAAGCTCGACATCTTCCTTTCTATCGCAGAAGAAGTCATGCTGGAGCTATTCGAAGTTGGCCCGCCTCTCCCACCATCCAACATGAACGCACAAGAGATGCTGCGAGTTCTGGAGCAACGATATGCAGTTTTCAACTTCGAGTCGTACCATCACGCTTTCTGTCATTTCTTAAATCTACACATCGACCAATACTCAACGATCGAAGAGTTCAACCAAGAATTCTTGACTACATTAGAGGAACTGCTGGATCATGGACAGCCGCTATCCAATACCCAGGCTTGCAGCGCGTATTTTTCAAAGCTGCGATGCACGCAGAACCCGTGGGTCGCGAAGAAGTTGAAAGAGTGGGATGTAAAGGGAGGGGAGATGGACTGCAGAGAACTGTTGAAAGAATCACCACCATGGTCCATCATCCGTCCGCTCGCGACAAAGGCGTCGCATACCTTCCTCGTCCAGTCTATACCAGAAGAGGATGTCGAAGACAGCTCAGCGTCAGACAGCGACTCGTTGCTCGAGAAGTCGGATGGCTCTACTGCGTCAAGCGTTTCCTCGCACTCGCGCAATGTGTCGACTGAATCTGCGCCGCAGAAAGATCCTAGCGCGCCAGAACGACAGCATTCAATCTTGACAGTGCGCTCGCAGGAAATCACCATTCAAGCATCGCCAGAAGCCATTGCGGAGATGGAGCTACAGGCCATGCACAAGGAGCTGGGCAAGCTCCCCACTTCCGCCATACCAGAGCGTGGGAGTTCCAAGTTCCAGGTCCCCGGCACAATCCTATCTGACGGTTCGAAGGAGTCTCTCCCGGAGTGGCTGGTGTCGAAGAAGAGTGTAGCTCAACGGCCACTACCGCCAACTGATCGACCGCTTCCGCCACTACCGCAGTCAGATGGTGAAGTAGCTATCTCAAAGACTTCCTCCCAGACGAGTTTGCCAAAAACAATTTCAAGCCCGAAACCTCCCACGCAGACCCCCCCGACCTTAAGTGCTCGAGACCACACACCCAACACTCCGCCCAGAAACTTCCACGCCTCTGATCGACCACCGTCCAACACTCCGCCCCTAGTCTCCCCACACCCCTCCTCGACGTCCACCCCGCCCTTCGCCCGCGACCCACAAGCTTCCTCCCGAAAATCGACACAACCCCCCTCCTCTTCCCCTTCCCCTCCCCGCCTCCCTCCTCACAACTACCTTCGCCATCACAAAAACCATCTCTCGCCAACAAACGCCGCCCCTCATCAACCTCCATCCCCCCCTCCCGGCGCCCCTCCCAATCCACCATCCCGTGGCCCTCAACCCCCGACATCGCCACACGCCCACATTCATCTCTCGCCGCGCTGCCCGCCACGCAGGCGCCGAATCCCATACCCTCACTGGGGTGGTGGAAGCACGAATCACAGCAAAGTCACATACAGAGCGATGAAGAAGATGAGGAATGCGATGAGGAAGATGGAGATTTCCTGCCACTGCAAGGCACATGCACGCGCGATTCTGAAGCGTGGTCGTATTTGTATCAGGCGAAAGGCGGGTATTTGATTACCGCACCGGGGCGCACGATAACGTCCTCATCTACGTCCGAGGAGAAGAAGGCCTCGCCGACGTTCCGGGACGTCGTGTTGCACAGGAAGCGTTCGAGTGTGGATTTTGTGGCGCGCTTGAGTGGGGAGAGCGCGCGCGGGGAGGAGAAAGACAAGGCGAAGAGGTTCGGGATGAAGAAGAGTTGGATTGGAGGCGTGGGGTTGGGGATCGGGAGGTTTGCCGGGAAGGGAGTTAAGGAGATTATTTAGAAGGATGGAAGGAAAATGGGTGGTCTTTATCTTGCTGGTGAAGGGGAGAGTGCATTTGTTGTATACCCACTGTCTTTCGCTTTTTCTTTGGGGTTAATTGGTGGGGTCGGTATAGATAGCGACGTTAGTTGCGTGATAGATGGTGCGTTTGGAATATGTACATAGCCATAAAGTCAGTATACACGTTACAATCATGTCCAATTTGTATTCACTCTCTGAATTGAGCTGAAACACCCGATGAGTGGTGATATGTTCATGTTCATTCCGCTCGCATATGTTCGTCACTCGTCACAGTCATCTCCAGCAGTAGCATATACCACCTACTGGGTCTCCCTGACGACCTTGTCGACTGCCTTGGCAAAGTATTCGACGTTGTTGGTGTTGAGACCCGCCATGGAGATGCGGCCGTTCTTGGTCATATAGACATGCGCATCCTCGCGGATCTTCAAGACCTGCTGCTCAGTCAAGCCCGTGAAACTAAACATACCGATCTGGTCGGTGATGTGGTTCCACGTGCCTGGTGTGCCGAGCTCCTCGAGCTTGCTGCGGAGCGCGGTGCGCATCTCCTTGATGCGACCGGACATCTCCCTCAGGTTTGCTTCCCACTCGGCGAACAGCTTGGGGTCGTTGAGGACGGTCGAGGCGATGCGGGCGCCGTATGCGGGAGGGTTCGAGATCTCGGAGCGCTGGAGGATGGCGAGCTGGGAGGCTATGCGCTTGACGGTGGTCTCGGCATCGGAGGAGGGCGAGGTGACGAAGTGGAAGCAGCCGGCACGCTCGCCGTACAGGCCAAAGTTCTTCGCGTACGACTGGGCGATGCAGAGCTCGAAGCCCTGCTCGATGAAGTACCGGATCGCCCAGCCATCGCGGGCCAAGTCACCCGAGGCGAAACCCTGGTATGCCGTGTCAAAGAAGGGGAAGTGCTTCTTCGACCTAATCACCTCGGCAATCTTCTTCCACTGGTCTTGCGTAGGGTCAACGCCGGTGGGGTTGTGTGCGCAGGCATGTAGCAGGATGATGCTGCCCTCGGGAGCGTCCTGCAACGAGCTAATCATGCCATCAAAGTCAAGACCCTTGGTCTGCTTGGAGAAGTATGGGTATGTCTTGTACTCGAGGCCGACGTTGGAGAAGATCTGGAAGTGGTTCGCCCATGTCGGGTCGGAGAAGTAGGCGAGGCGCTGGGAGCCTTTCTTGTAGAACTTTGCGAGGAAGAGGGCGCCCAGGTGGACGGCACCGGTCCCGGAGATGGTCTGTAAGCTGGTGACCTGCACGTCTGTGAGCTGAGGTCATGGCATGGTGGGGGTTGCACGTACGCGCTTCTCCTTGATGGCGGGGCTGTCGCCACCCAGGACGAGCTTCTGTGAGGCGCTTGTGAAGTCTGCAAGACCGGCGATGGGCAGATACTCGTGGTTCAGGTCGGGGTCGTTGCGGAGGATCTCGTCCGCCTGGAGGGGGGATATGTCAGCACGCGGATACCTTGCGTGGGGTGGAGGTGAAGGAGGAAGAGCGGTAGAGCTATGGAGCTCCAGGAAGAGGGGCACTTACCTTCTTGACTACGGGCAGGATCCAGGGCTTTGCGTTGTTGTCTCGGTAAGCTCCAATGCCCAAGTCGACCTTCTTGGGGTCGTTGTCGCGGCGGTAGGCGGCCATTAGTCCGAAGAGCGGGTCTTCGGGCGCCTGGGGGACGACATTGGCGTCGAAGGCGGTGGCAGCCATTGGTGCGAGTTGTGTAGAGATTTGAGAGAGTCTTAAATTCGAGGTTTGTGAGGATGAAGATGTGGACGAAGGGGGTTGTCGTGAAGGTGGTGGCATGATCCAAGGTTGCTCCAGGGATCTGAAGCTATGCTCGCCTCGCGCTAGGGACCTGCGCGCCTCCAGGTTCTTTCTGGTGAATTTTACCGGGGTACGGAGTGAAGGATGCGGAGAACGGAACGCAACTCGAAGAGACTACGACGCAAGCCATCGCGGCAGCCTTGGACAGCCTTTTAAGAGCTATCCGTCGACCGGTGTGTCGGGCAGGGTCTCAAGCAAGCCGAGGCACCTACGGCTATCCGAGAGGGATGATGTCAGATATACAGTCTGTTCTACGAGCTCTCACATGCTGCGCATCTCTGTCAGAAGCTCAAGAAAGCCATGCCACCATGTGAAGCACCCCTGACTCGATGCGACACGGTGGGTCTCTTCCGCCGCCATCCCCACAGCGCTTGCCGTCAACTTGCTGTTCTTAGTTAAATGGTCCACTCAGCATGCACGCATAGGTAATGGATACAACTGCCATGACTTTAGATATTTCCTTTCCAACACCAGCTGCACCGTTGACCTGTCATATGAACAAGTCCCAGACAACAAGTGTCGTGCAAAAGACACACGTCGACCAAAATACCATCTGTGCCGTGCTCCTTCTCTCCGTCGCCCGCTTGAGCTCCTTATTTCCACTGCCGACGTTATCCGTCGTGTTGAACGAGTCCTCCACCAGCTGGTCAATGTGCGCCGCCTGCACGCTCAGGTTGTTTGCAAGTGTTGTCTGCAGCTCCGAGATCTCAAGCAGCGACTTTTCGGTTGCACTGGACTGTATTAGAAAATCATCACTATGCATGGCTGATATACATACCGAACCTTGTCCAGCTGATCTTCGTATTCCTTCAGCATGTCCTGGTTTTCCTGCGCGAATAGCTGCAGTTGCTCAGGGTCAAGCTGCTGCTCGATGGCACCGTTCGACTCTTCTTGCGCGTAGCTTGTCTTTCCACGGTAATCGGCTGAGCCCGCCGCGCTGCCATTCATACCGCTGTAGTCGTTCGTTGTCGGACCTGATGCTCTAGTCTTGTACAGCACGCTCTTGCTCTTCTCCACCTCCCGCATCAGCCTAATCTCCATCATGGAGCTCTGAAAGCGGCCACATTCCTCTAATTGATTCTGCAGTGACCAGATGATGCTCTCTCGATGTGCTTGAACTGTGTTTGCCTTGGCTTCCTCAAGCTCCTCTTCGACGCTCTTCGCTGTTATAGCCCCGCCAGCTGCCCATCGTCCCAATGCGCCTAGGCCCTGCTTTGCCCGCTTTCGCAACGCAACTTGCGTCTGCGTGGTTTGTCGTATCTGTTCGGCATCGCGGAGAGTGTTGATCGCATAGTTCAGCTCGCGCAGAGACTGCTTTGCAGAGGCGTCAATCTCAGTGCGCTCAACATCCGTGAGGTATTTGCTATCCTTGTCTGCCGACGTTGAAGATCCAGCTGCTCGCGTATATTGCTTTCGGCGTGGTGGCTGAGCAGTCGATAGATAGCTCTGTCGTATAGACTTCAGATCATTGTGAAGTTTGGTAACGTGATTACGCTGTTATTGTCAGTCGACTGCCAGATATGCGACGCGCAACGTGGCCTACAATGCGGTATGCTTCCTTCAGAAACTCGTCTAGATCCTCAACGCGGAAAACGTAGGGCTCGACTGGCTGTGCATCGTGCTTCACCAGCACCTGGTTGAAAATGGGTGTGATGTCCATTGTGGTGCAGTCCAATGCACGCGCAGCTTGCTGGCATGAAATGACGATGCTCCCCGCGGGAATGCCCTTTCGCTAGCGTAGCGAATGACGTGCCCCTGCCTCGTCAAGCCTCGCCAAAACACCTCCACATCTCTCCTTCAACGCAACGATGAGATGATCATCTCCAACAACACACGCGATGAGCGGAGATTGCTCGTGCAAATGATGAGAAGCACGTTTTATTGGGTTGCCAGCGCCATCGCTTTCGCCTTACATTGTCACGTGTCTATTAGATCCTCGGGGATTCACAAAGCCACGGGCAATGCAACATGGCGTCTACTGCGTGTCACAAACCGTGACATCGGAAGCTGGACTACCATTGCCTTCAACCCGACACGCAGCTAACACACCCGATTGGACACGCATGTACAAACAACCCTGCTGATTACAGCACATCGAAATACTGTTCGCTAGCATTCTCGGGACTACCGAAGTGACTCGAACACGAGGTCTGTATTAAGAAACATGTCTCTAGGACACGCGGTTCTCACAGCACTCTATAACCACCTGACGCATCATTGCATGCAAACTTCTGCCTGGAGGGTTACCCTTCGACCTTGGCTCAATTACTGGTAACCATATTCGAGTAAGCTTCAGTCAGCTTATCCAAGACTACCCAATGGAAAGCCTCTCTCCAACTACCTCGTCAGAGCACTGCCATTGTACGCCTGAATTCTAACTCGTGTTGTTTTCAGCCACTTTCGTGTAACGTCATTGCTTTATTGGTGAGCATGATGCGAGGTTAATTACCCATGACAACTCTGTTCCTTCTTTCATTATCGAATACTGATACAAACGAGCGATATAATAACAGCCCCACAGCGACCACGTTTAGTTCAGCTGCAGACATCTATTGCATCAAAGTATAAAACTACTCAGCTCCCCAGCATCATTGTGTCCTCACGCACTTCTCTCCGACTCTCCTCGGCCAACCAACTCTCAGTCTCAAATCCATATCAAAGCACTCAACTTTGAAGATGATCTTCTCAACCATCATCACCCTCCTCCCCATAGTTTCCCTTGCTGCACCCGCTGCTCTCCAGGTCCGTCCCAGCGAGTTGTGCGCCCCTACATCCTACACCTTGTCCAAGTTCGTTCTCTCGACCTCCTCCGCCACGTCTTCTGTCGCCTTCTCCTTCCAGTCCGTCTTCGCTTCTGGCCCCAACATCACGGATGCTGTTCTTTCTGGAGCCACCTGCTCCGCCACTGGCAATCCCCTGCCTAATAACAACGAGTGCAGCGTCGAGGAACGCAAGTTACTATTCGACCTCGCGGGTCCTCCGGCATCAGCAAAGTACCGCATCACGCATACATGGACCTGCGATGGGTGAGTCTCCTCTGTATCGTTTCCTCTGGATGTTGCTAATACTTTGATAGTGCTACCTGGATGTCGGGCAACGATGTCGCCATGAAAGACTTGGATTGCAGCACCGCCAGCGGCGTTACCACGTGCACAGGCGGCCCTCAGACTGTTGAGCCACAGAATTTGCGGAAGATCTGCGGTACGCCTACCTGCCCTCCGTGAGCTCTGGACATGTTCCTCAGCTAGTGTGCGGTGTGCATCACGTTTCAAGCTTCGATGTGAATAGTCTTGAATCACGACTTGAGTGACTGTATACAGATCTTAATTACATTATCAAAAATTCGCTTTTCTTATTCTTCTTGGGCTTGACATTGTAATGTGTTCCCATGATTTATCTCTTCCCCAATTCTCATGACAGGCACGAAGATATCTCAGATAACAACTGTACTGGGTTCTGGGATGAATTGTGCGCGCTGTGTGCGAAATCTCCAAGCACGGTCTAAGGGTCTGTCTAACTTTGAGTTATTCTTTGCGACGCGGACCGCAGAGCCAACTCCTGGTGCTCATCTGAGACATACAATCACAATTCGCAGACCATGCGCATTGCTGTCTAAGCGATGTTCGACGTCCCAACATCCGTCTCAACTTCCCATCTTTCTCAAACCCTCCAAATCGCATCCGCCATCCTCGCAACTTGCCCCATCTCTTTTACATCATGTACTCTAACAACATCTGCGCCCCCCTGTACCGCCGCCGCCACACTCGCAGCTGTGCCCCAAACTCTCTCCCGCGCCTCCTCAACACCCGTGATCTTCCCAATAAACGCCTTCCGACTCGTGCCCACCAGCCATGGAAAGTTCTCCAGCCCGGGGTACGCCCTCAATTCCTCGAAGCGGCGCAGCAACTCCAGATTCTGGTCGAGTGTTTTGGCGAAGCCGATACCCGGGTCGAGGATGATGCGCCAGCGCCGTATGCCTGCAGCTTCGGCGTCGTGGACGCGGGCGAGGAGTTCAGCGCCGATGGTTTCGAGCAGACCGGCAGGGTAGTCTGTTAAGAAGTTCATGGTCTCGGGGGTGCCGCGCATGTGCATGAGGCATACGGTGCAGCCGAGTTTGGCGGCTGTGGGTAGCATAGCTGGGTCCATTTGGCCGGCACTGACGTCGTTGATGATGTGTGCGCCGGCATTGATAGCAGCTTCAGCAACGTCGGCGCGGTACGTGTCGATGCTGATGGGGATGTTAGGGAGGTTAAGGGAGCGGATTAGATTGATGGCAGGGAGCACGCGTTGGAGTTCTTCGGATGAGGAGGCTTGGGGTGAGCCGGGGCGGGTGGATTGCCCGCCGATGTCGATTATGGTGGCGCCGGCGGAGACGTGCGAAAGGATTGTGCGGTGGAGGGAGTCGGGGTCGAGGTTGTAGTTTTTACCGCCGTCGGAGAATGAGTCTGGGGTGACGTTCAGGATAGACATGATGTGGGTTTCCCGGTTCGTCCGATGTGGCGTGAGAGTTGGCAGGTTTGGGCCCATGGGAGTGAGTGGTGAAAGGGGTGGATCTGATCGTAGTTCAGATAGTCTTCGTCTAATGTGGGCATCAAATGATTTATCATTCTCAATGTGTAGAATTCTGTTACACATCAGCATCTTGCATCGTGAGGACTAAGCACCTGAGCGTACTCATAGAGTGGGCGAAGAACAAATTCTCTCTCGAACATTAGCTTGTGTGGCAGAATTAGTCTCTCGTCGTTCCACTCGATCATACTTGGTGAGCCTTCGCCTCCCCTGGCATAAAGCAAGATGTCTAGGTCGATGTTCCGCGGGCCTTTGTCGATTACCTTGACGCGACCCATTTTGTTTTCAACTGATTGAAGATAATCTAGCAGCTGAATGGGTGCAAGGCAAGTTGCTATCTGAACGCTTCAGTCGAGGGTATCTCTACTAGGTGCCCAGAGTCCCGCTCACCTCACACGCTCCATTTACAAAGTTGTCCTGATCGAGGACATACATGGCTTTTGTCTCGTATAGACTGCTTGTTTGCAGAATTTTGACTAGTCCAGTGGCTTCCATCTCTTTGCAAGCTTGCTCGATCATGGCCACTCTGTCACCCATATTGCTACCCAAAGCAATAAAGGCTCTATGCGGTAGTCGCGTATCGCTATGCAAAAGGCGTATTGTGTTCTTGGCGAATCTTGGTCGATGTATTCGCGTAACACGTCTCGTCACACTGCGATGCAACAATTGAGTATCGCTGCAAGTCCATGGAGCCGGCCTGGTGACTCCATTGCTACACTGTCTCTTAGCAGAGGCAATGGTGGTCGTGGATGCACATCTGATTGCCCCTGAAGCGAGTGGCTTCCGCAACCTGCTAGTGCACAGGAGCATTTCGAATGCACGAGTTGGAGCGGACGGGTGTTTGCATGTGATGCCTAACTGACACACGTCGGAGCAAAATTGAACTAGGACGCCGTTCCGCGCTTACCCCGGATCCAGCCTTGGTATCTTGCCCCTTTGGACTAGCGCCCTCCGCAATCCTGGCGAGCCTCGGTTCACGGCTCAGTGAGAGTCGACAGACTCCTCATCCCATAAGTTCACGTCCACGCCTCTCCGTCCTCCTTTCAGCTCCGTCTTCGACTCTTTTGCAGTCTCCTTTACGTTTCAGATACCCTTCACCATCCAATACAGCGCATATACCGCCCATCATGTCCTCACCACGTATGTCACCTGTTTGCTCCTTCACATGACAATGCTGATAAACCTCAGAGCAAATCCGCACAAAGCTCACCGATCTGCTTAAGATCAAGCACCCCGTGATGCTTGCTGGCATGAACGTTGCGGCTGGTCCCAAGCTCGCAGCCGCCGTCACGAACGCTGGAGGAATCGGTGTCCTCGGAGGCATCGGCTACACACCAGACATGCTTCGCGAGCAGATCGCGGAGCTGAAGGGCTACCTCGACGACCAGAAGGCGCCGTTCGGTATTGATCTGCTGCTTCCCCAGGTCGGTGGAAGCGCGCGCAAGACCAAGTAAGGGAAAACACATGTCGTTTGACAACGCGAAAACTAACACACGAGCAGCTACGACTACACCAAGGGAAAGCTCGACGAGCTCATCGACATCATCATCGACTCTGGTGCCAAGCTCTTCGTTTGCGCCGTCGGTGTGCCACCCAAGCATGTCGTCGAGAAACTCCACAAGGCCGGCATTCTATACATGAACATGATCGGACACCCCAAGCACATCAAGAAGTGCCTCGACCTCGGCGTCGACATGATTTGCGCACAAGGTGGTGAGGGCGGTGGCCACACTGGAGATGTTCCCACATCTGTCTTCATTCCCGCCGCCGTCAAGATGGTCAAGGGACACAAGTCGCCGTTGACCGGCGAGGAGGTCTTGATTGTCGCTGCTGGTGGCATGTACAACGGCCAGTCGCTGGCTGCTATGCTCACATTCGGCGCCGCTGGTGTCTGGGTCGGTACCCGCTTCATCCTTTCCGAGGAGGCTGGCGCGCCCAAGGCGCATCAGGAGGCCGTAAGGACCGCTGGTTGGGACGACAACGTTCGCACAATCATCTTCACCGGAAGGCCGCTCCGTGTTCGCACCAACCCATACATCCAAAACTGGGAAGAGGTAAGTCATTGATGCAGAAGTCAGAGAGACCATTGCTAACTTGTCCATCACAGAACCGGCAAAACGAGATCAAGGAGCTCACCAGCAAGGGTATATTGCCCGTTGAGCACGACCTTGAGAAGATGGGCGACGACCTCGACGACGACACAATGGACAACGCCCGGCCATTCCTGATGGGCAAGGTCGCTGCAGTCGTTGAGGAGCGCAAGAGCGCGAGAGCGATCGTCGACGAGTTTGTAACAGACGCTGTCAAGTGGCTGCAGACTGGTAACTCTATGATTGTGTCCAAGTCGAAGCTTTGAACGTAGTTTGTGATTTTTACTATTGCATAAATATATGACTTATTTCAGAGATATCCTCGGCACAGGTGTGCTTCGAATTCGGGATCACTACCATTATGATGCGCGATTTATCCGTGCTTGCGGGAAGGGAACCACTTCGTGAATGGACTACCTCCCAGAAGCGCAAATCCGACAGCTCACTCCACCATGCGATTGTATAAGCTATCCCACCAGGTTTACCCCAGTCCAATTTTCGTTGGGGAGCTTTTATCTAGCTAATAAGCCAATCAGACTGTTGGATATATTTCGGCTTAACGCTCGAGGTAGTCTGTTCGACATAAAAACAACGTGTCGTCGCAACGTGAAGACAATCAGCCCCCGCGTTAAAAGCAACGCCGACCCCTTTCACGCATCGCAACGCTGCCAACAACCCACATTCGAATCCTTTCCTTTGCAAATATTGCTCTTCTATCGCTACCTACGATCAATTGAATAGCTCTCGCGAGCATGGAGCCGCCAGAACGAAGAACCCAAGTTGTCGAATCGCCCAGCATGCCTGACGCCGTCAGCCAAGTCACATCCTCTGCGACCACGGCCATCGTCGAAACGCCGTAAGATGTCACCGCACACGTCCAGTAGACGCTGCCAAAGCGAATGCCAGATCCAGAGACTTTGTAAAGCATCTACATCAGTAGGTCGCACTAGCTACTCAACATGGATGATTATGCTGAACACTTCCAGGATGAAGGATAATGGTCTCATGTAGAGTGACGAGTAAACGCTTTCCTCTTAGCCTCAATCCCATGGGTGTAGACTAGCATAAAACCAGCCGCCGTCATGGAATGAAGCGGGGAAAGTATCGCTGGAACGCGATGAACACCGCATCTATAAGTTTGATCTCGAGTTTGTTTTTGAGAATGGGGATGGGTACAATCCTGGGGGTCATGATTATTTCGAGAGTAATAGTGAGTCTAATGAGCTTTTTTCGGAGTCGGAGCCTGAGGTGACAGAGGAGAGTCATAGCGAGTGTACGGATGATGAATGTCCGACTTACGAACGACCGGTTTGGGGTCCGTGGTAGCAGCACAAGAACTGTACCACAAGCGAGCGCACGCGCCGACGAAGACTATCGTCACGCTGAACACCAGGCGTGGGCGCTCTTCCAAAGTGTAAGATAAATCATAAATTCGTAAACCTGTAGATGTTGCAACACATAACTCTGTCTAATGTTTGCAACTTGGAGTAAAGCAGATAACCTCCCTATCCCATAATTTTGAACCAATAATGCAAAGACCAAGTCTCATGATGCAAACTCCTGGTGAAACCATGCATGCCGTGCTTGTATTACCATAGCCCGTCCCCTTCTTCCCAAACCAGCCAACTTTTCGAGGTTGAGATGGTATGCGATCACTGAAGATGCGGGTCGACATCGACAATAGGGCCCGTGTACGTCTTCTTCGCAAACATCATGTAGTACGCCATGCTGAAAATCAACACTGCTCCCGTCACGATGACAGCGTAGTTCATCTGGTCGAAAGTCGTGTGATTAGTCGCGGGCCAGCAGCTGAAGAAGATGATGAGAAGGAGATAGCAGATCGCGACAATGTTGTTTGCAATTCCAAGTGCGCCTTTGAGTTTCCACGGACCCCAAGTCAGACTACGATCATAGGCTTCGTCGACTTGGCCGGGTTGGAAAATGGTCATGGATGAGTCGGGGTTGTCGAGGTCGCCGCGGAGCCGGCGCCAGAGGAGGAGGCCGATGGCAAGGAGGTAAGAGAGATAGAAGCCTTGGAGGACCATGGAGATTGTGCCGTTGAAGGCGGTGGTGTTAACAATGTTGATTAGAGCGAGGAGGGCTGAGCAGACGGTGACGACCAGGATGGCGACTACGGGGATGGTCGTGCGTTTCTCGATCTAGATCATGTCAACAATGTTCGGAAGAAGATATCATGAAGTGACATACCATGCTCAGAGCGCGCGAGAAGGGAAGACCCTGGTCACGAGCAAAAGACCAGGTCATACGCGAAGCGGCAGCCAAGCAACCCATAGCACTGCAAAACTCGAGGAAGATGATGATACTGATCATAATGGTCGCACCAGCGTCAGAACCCACAGCTGCGCGGAAGATGCGGACGAAAGCGGCAGTAGTGGCATTTGTGTCGTCAAGTAATTCCTGGATGTTCTCGGCGCTGAAGAGGACAGCAAAAAGCATACCAAAAGCCAACGATCCGTTGATGACCAGACTGAGCAACATCGATCGCGGTACATCAGTACTGGCATTCTTGACTTCCTCAGACATCTGCATGCATCAGCGGTGTAAAAAGGTGTCGCAAATAGTACTCACGTGCACAACAGAGTCAGTTCCGACGAATGCGAGAGCATTGCCTTGCAGGCCGACGAAGAAGGCCAGAGCTTGTGTTGGCCACTTTCCGCTGTTGTTGAATGTGGTGAATATGACCTTGGCGGAGTTGTAATTTCCGGAGAGATAAACCATCGGCACCAATATACCAAAGAAGCCCAAGACGTGGACTATCAGTACGACAACTTCCATGGTAGGAAGTGCACCGCTGGCGAACACATTTATGAAGACGCAGAGTAGTAGCACCGCCCAAAGGAGAAGCGTTCCGTGCCAACCTGCCCGTTCAAAGTTTCCTTCGAGATCGTTGAGGCTGACAAGTTGCAATACGAGGTCAGAGACAAAGTAGCATACCGAAGTCAGTGCTGCGATCCATCCGATAACAGTGAGCCAGCCTACGACAGTTAGAGCTTGTCTTATACGCTAGTGGAGCGAGCGTACCTGTAATGTAGCTGAAGAACCTCTTGTTCGACCTTGGAGCAAGCAGTGAAACCCAGTGATACTGTCCGCCAGCTGTAGGAACAGCACTTGCAAGCTCTCCTATGCAGATGAAGACAGAAAAGTTGCCAAGCCAGATGATAGTGAAGCCGTAGATGAGACCAGCCGGCCCGCCACTGTGATTGTCAGATATCAGACAGGATGCAGATCCAGTTCAGACTCACTTCTGGAAGCCAATGGCGAAGATGCTGGTCAATGTTAGTCGCGGTAACCCGAGTGCTTCCGAAAACCTACACTAGCAGACTCTCCCATGTGCACATCAAACCGCACGACAAACCGGTCATGCTCACCAACCCAAACCGCCGCTGTCAGAGTCAGCTCCGGACATGTCGTGATTGGGCACCACAAACCTTCAACACCTGCTGCTTTCCCACTCGTGCCAGCTCATAACGGTCACGATCGAAGTCCTGGCCCTTCGCCTCTGAGATCGATATCTTGCGCCTCGCCCGTATGGCGTCATCATCAAAGGCCTGCAGGTCAATGTGCTTCTCCATTGTCGTGTGTGCGCCTTCAGTACAGTTTTCGTATTTAGAGTGAATGAAAGTGCTCGCCGTCCACGACAATGTTCAATTGAGCAACGAGCCAGCGGATTGGGAAGTAAGAGACGAAAAGGGGGGATCGTGATACAGGATACATGCAATGCAAGTCAATCTTGATATTTATCCCTCTCCCGGGTAACGCGAGCCATGTGAGCCGGCAAAGACGGTTCAAGAGACGACCAGGAAGCGGCGCTCGGCAGCGCAGACAAGCGTTGAGAATGGCAACCGCTAGGCTGTCGTTGCGTGCACTTGAGGGAATTGTAGGCTTCTCACAGTGACGGCAGATTGCTACATATCGCACTGCATTCGCAAGTCCAGGGTACTGCGTGATGAGCTGCGCTGATTGGTCGCTGGTGTTGCACGACTGCGCTGCCGGTGGCTGCAAAAGACAGTGGCATGCATCAACGCGGATCCCTTGCTCGCATGTCTTCCAGATGGCAGTAGCGGACCAGACAATTCTCCGATGATGCTCGCGTGGAGGCGCAGAAGTGTGGGAAATTCCCGATGGGCCAGCGCAGCCTGCATGTCGGACATAGCAGCGTCTGTTTGCTACAAATTTGGCTATTGTGGCTTTTTCTGAGGCAGAATGGCCAGGAACTACACGTCGCCGTGTCTCAATGTCGAAAGGGTCTCAGGAGTTCTGAACCCCACCTGGGTGTCGCACGGAGGACAATGGCAGTAAAGCGTAGTTGAACAAGGCATGCCGATTGAGATGAAGACATGGGTTTGGTGGCAACAACAACGGCTGTCATCCCAGCGTTAGGAGAAGCTGTGACCTCTCTGCAGCTCCGTGTGATACGAGGTCTAGAAGATGCGGTGTTTGGCGTGAAGAATGGAGGAAAGAGGATCCTAGCGCTATTTCACTAGGCAGGCCACGTGCTATGCGCTCACGATCCACGGCCTCGGTTCAACGGCCATCAACGTAAAGCCACTCAACGTTGTAGTGACAGGCTTTGTATTCTATGACCTGACAGCTGTGCATGACATTCCTGTTCAGAGACACAAGTCTGCGGCGGCACCTTCTGGAAGCCCATCCCTTTCGTGTCAGCCGTAACCGCCACCTCCACTATTCAGCGTCAACCGTCGACCCTGAAACCCCACTTGTTGGTGGATCGGTTAGCTTTACACGCGCTTCCGTGGTTTTAGGCTCTATAATTGTGCGCCGAGAGCTGACGTGGGCAGCCAACGGCTTGAAGCGTAACTTACTTTAGCCCCGGTGCGAAACCTATCAGCGCGGAGAGGTCGAGAACAGACGCTCCGAGAATCACACAGGTCTTGTTGAGCGTAGCAAGCGCTTTCGGACATGCTTTCCTGTCCGAGGAGCTCACTGCACTTTGGACCAAGCATTGGCATCGATGCTGCGAGACCCGGCACTTTCATCACATGAAGGGCTGGAGAACCGCAAATGATGCAGTGAAGCGTTTCTAGGACGTGCATGTGAGTTTGGGCAACTGATTGTGAAAGAGTCTTTGACATGGGCTATGAATAAGAGCAGTGATTCGAATCTCTATCTCATCACCTCGATCTTGTCTTGACCCGTGTCTGAGCTCGTGCTATCTACTTCTTCCCACTCCGCACTGACCACTGTCGTCTTCAAGATTTTCGAATGGCTGCCCGTACTATCTGTTTCCCATTTCCTGTCCTCGCCATCCTTCCTCTTCACCGCCGAGATCTCCACGCCAGAATGTCCATCCGTCCGTCTTGGGCCGCCTGGCAGACCGGACGCGGAATTCGAATGAGTGGTTCTTTCTTGCGAAAGCATTGGTAAGAACCGTTTGAACCCATGCTCGTTTTGTGACTTCCGACTCTGGCTTCGATTATGGCTTTGCTTTTCGCTCAGCGGTGACCTCGGATTTGTGTGCGAGCTACTGAGCTGGTAGGAACCGCTTTTACTCCTTGAGTAGCCAAGCTCTGACGGGGTGCCGCGTCGTCGTAGTTCATCAGTCGCATACAGACCCGAGGGCAGAGATTCGATCAGAGGGCGAAGGTAGGGTACACATGATGTGAGTATTGTGATGCATTCGATGATCTGGGTGACAAGAGTCCACTTCCAAAGGTCTTTAGTGGGGTTTGGCGATGAGAAGCCAGAGACATAGGCTGCTTGTATGGCCGTCGCGATGATATCCCTACCGCTGGTGAGCCAAGATGATATTTGCATACAGGCTATTGAACTTACAGTGACCGTGCGCCGAAGAAGGTCAAGATGGTGACCTTCTTGCTCAGACTCATTTGGAGTGTGAAGACGACATGCAGAGGAAACAGTATCAGCGCAAGGTCGGTGAGTATGTTGAAGACACCCATGCTAAGCCAGAATGACGGCTTGGAAAATGTTAGCTATCCTCAGAGTAGGCAGACAAGCACGCGCCTACCAGATTGAGACAACGATGTTCAGGTCCTATAAATCGCCATGGGTCAATACTCCCACACAGGAAGGCAGCAACAAGTTCAGAGACAAATCCCCACAGCACGATGAAGCCAGTCAAGCCAATCCCGAAGTTTTTGTGCAGATCAGAAGCGGTCAAAATCATGAGAAGAGAGATGATCGACAACTTTGCAAACACCAATGTCGCAATGTACAGCAACTTGTTTGCATACTCGGCCTGGAGGGCATCAGCATCAAGTAGATGGAGTGTGCTCTTCTCTCACGTACCTTCTGGTAGGCTATGATTTGTGAATCTGTCAGAACAGCGATATTTCGGCCGAGCCCGTTGGCCGTTTGTATGCTAACGGATGCCCCGGAAGCGATGCTGGCGACCTGGTAGACGGCATCGTCAGCAACGCGGAAACAAAGGATTACTTGGACAAAGAGTAATGCCTACTAGAGCAGCAATGACAAACACATCGTCAATATCAACCCTCCGTCTCAATGCTCTCTTCGTAATCAGTCGCGTGAGTACTGCCAATGCGGATGTAATCAAGAGTATCCAAGTAACCACGTTCACGAACGGCCCGAGATTGTCCTTCGATCCGGGCTCCCGTGGAATGAGACGGTGCGCATAAGCAAAGAAAGGCGGTACCGTCATCGCATTGTCGTGTTGAAGTGAGTCACTTCAAACGTCTTTCCAATGTACGATCAGACTGTGGTCGTTGAAACTTAGCAAGCACGCCAAATTGCAGTAAGCCGAACGCGCAGAGATCGGTGCAAATGACGGGATGGCAATACGGCGTTGCATGCAACAGCTGCTGGACGCATGGCAGGCAGCAATGTAAGGTGCCGCGAGAAGAATGACCAAACGACACAAGCAAAGTCCAAACCCGCCCTGTGTTGACTGGTAAGACACCCAACAGCTCGGATACCAGCAGAATACATTGCAAGCGAGGGGACATGATCAACAAGTTCGGAACGTTGGGTACCCGTGGTGCATGGTTGCGCAGCGTGAAAGATCGAGGTATGCAAGGAATTTCGTCCGAAAGTGACCAAAGAAGCAAATACCCATCAGGGAAATATTTGTGTAATGTTGACCCTCGCCTAGTCGAATGGAGACAAGCTAGTCGTCTCAAGTTCACGAGACTGTAAGTTGTGACGAATCGCAGCGCTGAGAACATAACGACTGGTCGATTCTTCCAGCTCGAACCGACTTTGCGGGTTGA